CAAATCTTTGATTTTTGTGATCATAAAAAAATATACAAGGAGATTCGTTGAACTCTGTTTTTTTTTTATCATTACCAATGGGGTTAACAAATTTTATTACACTTCGTACACAAACAAATAAAGTAGTCAGAGTTAACGCCCTTTTGTTAAAAAAAAAAACTAACCGTAACTCGATTTATTTTAAAAAAAATGTGAAATTCAGTTGGCGGTGAAAATAAAAATTGAATCGATTTTTTACATCTTATTTTTCGTTTAAGAATTAAACTGTCGCATACAGGGTGAGTGCCAAATATTTGTCAATTTTTTTGATTTTTTAGAAAACAAAAAAATTGTACAGGGTGATCCGTTAAAATTTTTAAAAATCTGTTTTTTTATCATGACCAACGTGGTTAACCAATTTTATTACACTTCATATAGAAACAAAAAAGTAGTCAGAGTTAACGCTCTTTTGTTAAAAAAAAACACTCGATTTATTTAAGATATTGGGAAATTTAGCTGGCGGTGAAAATAAAAATTGAAAAGATTTTTTACATCTTATTCTCGTTAAAAATTAAACTGCAGCATACAGGGTGTGTCCCAAATATTTGACAATTTTTTTTTTGATTTTTTAGCAAGCAAGGTGATTCGTGAAAGTTTTCACAAATCTAGTTTTTATTGTGACCCATTTTGATTACACAAACAAATAAAGTAGTTGGAATTAACGCTCTTTTGTTTAAAATAAAAATAATTTATTAAAAATTGAAAAAATGTGAAATTCAGTTGTCAATGAAAATAAAAATTAATTTAGAAGTTTAAAAATTAAACCGCGTCATATAGAGTGAATGACGATATTTTTCAACTTTTTCTTAATTTTTGATTCTTTAGGAATCATAAAAAAATATACAAGGAGTTTTTACAAATCTGATTTTTTTTATCATGACCAACAGGGTTAACCAATTTTATTACACTTCGTACATACAGTAGTCAGAGTTAAGGCTCTTTTGTTTAAAAAAATGATTTATTAAAAAAAAAGTCAAATTTAGTTGGCAATGAAAATAAAAAATTATTTTATAAGTTTAAAAATTCAACTGGGGTGAGTCACTGATGTTTTTCAACTTATTCACAATTTTTGATTTTTTTTGAGGTCATGAAAAATATACAGGTGGTTCGTTAAAGTTTTTACAAATGTGGATTTGCACTGCATTTTTCTTTTAAAAATACATGTTGAGTCGTCAAAATTGCACACTTATATTAAATTTTACCTTTTTTTTTTTCTTTTTTTCTAAATTTGAATTTGAATTTTATATAACAATAAAATAAAGAAAGTAACACATTTGCAGCAACAAAATTATTTTTTGTTATTGGTAAAAAATAGAAGTATACAGAGTGAGTCGTTAAACTTTTTACAAATCTTATTTTTTGTTCTTATTAAAAATTAGAAAATCACAAAATATTCAGGGTAGTATGATAACACCAGTTCTGTGCCATTTTTTAGTAGTAAAAAGAACCAAAATGTACAGGGTGATTTATCTAATCAATCTTACTGTTATCTTTTATTGATTATTATTTACATTTCTTAATATTCACCACTTAATTTTTATACAGGGTGTGTTATTAAAAATTTTCCAAGTGCCTATTTTAATTTTTTCCCATATAAGATGTCACTTTTTCATCGCCAACTTGTCGAAAACAAAACATATCGACTACGACACTTGATCGTCAAAATACACTAGGCTGGTAACCTGACATTTTGAAGAGTACAAAAACTGTATTTATTTTTACTTAGTTTGCTAGACTGGAAATGACCCTTTCGCTCACTTTAGTTAATTTTTAGAAAAATACTCAAATCGTTGCTTATTTAATAACGTACTTACCTTTCGTTGGTATTCCTGTATATACAGGGTGTCAGCTTTTCGTAATATTACCTTCAGGTGTTTTAAAACACTCCGTTCTTCCATAATTACAGTATTTATGCCAGATTTTTAATGTAATTGTTTATTTTTGTAACTGTTCATTCCCTTCCTCCGTTATTAATTTATTAATTAATTTATTTCCATTTGTTTTATAAACATTCATAGTTCCTATTGTACATGATTTGAATTGTATTTGGATTGTTGATTATTAATTAAAGCATTATTAACAAGGAAATTTGTTTTATTTTTGTCAAAAGGGCCGACTATTGGGTCTCTCAAAGCCGGAAATATTGCGAATTTTGCAAATGTTGGATCACCGATAACAAACCGGTAAATCACACTTTCCCCCAAGCCAAAAAAGAAAATTAATTTCCAGTTTTCAGAGCGTCGATTTTCACGAAAAAGGCAGAAGACATCAGGAAAATGTCAAAAAAAGGCTACGAAATATCACAAAACAGAGCAATCAAGTCCAAAAAAACACAAACAAAGCCGATGCAACAATCAAACTCATGGAATCGGCGGCGATGGAGGCTTACAAAAAAGACATGGAGACATGTGGGGACCTCACATCCTCCCTGATGAAGGGGAAATTCGACAGTGCTGCCAAAATAACAAAACTGTGGAACGAAGCAAAGACCAGAGACGGCAAAACCTACTATTACAACATTATGACGAAAGGTACAATGTTGCCAACTTAATTTCAAATTGATGGTTATTTTTCCAGAGACGGTATGGCAGCCCCCTCGCGAGGGCTACCTCTCAATCCAGGAGCAGCGAACCCAGGCGGAAGCCGAGGCGCAGAACCAGTTGAAAGCTTTGGAAAAATTCAAACGCAAAGAAGCCCTAATGACGTAGGCTTTTTCTTATCATTATCACCAAAATTTACAGAGAAATTTTTTTTAGGATGCAACAAATCAAAGAGGAGGAAATGGAGAACGAAGCACGCAAAAACCGTGAAAAACTGAAAGAGCGAAGAGTCGTTGATGATTTACCAGCGACGACTTGTGGGCCCCTTTTGGAGCCAGGCAAGACCGACCCTTATGGCAAATGGCAGACAATTCAAGAAACGTAATTTGGGGATTTTTTGAATCGATTGATTTGTGTTGGTAGACCTGTTGTAGATTTGCAATTGCCGGTTCAGGAGTATTATTATGAGGAGCCGGTGGTGCAATACGAGCCGGAAGCCCCCATTAAAGAGTTCAAGGAGAAAGTTGTTGAGAGTTTAGGGGGCGAAAGTAGTGAGGCTGGGTTCAAGAAGCGGAAACTTGCGGGGGTGGCCAAGCGAAATGTGAGGCAGCGGCTGGACGATGATTAGTAATTTTGTGTGTAAATAAATAAAAAAAATTAATTTAGCGACACTGTTGGTAATACAGGTTTCTTCCCTATCGTGTATCAATTTTTTCGTAAAATTGAATGTGTGAGGTAACAAATGGCCGATTTTTTTTAATTGTTTGAGGTATTAACGGAATAAATATTGTTAATTTTGTTTTTGTCTATTTTCTTGCGCTAATTTTGGTATTTGGAGCGCTAGTGTCGCGTCGGTAATGTAGGTTCCCCCTCGAAATGTCACTTGTCACAGTTTTGTCGTAAAATTAAATGTGAGTTGTGCTTGTTTAGAGTTTAAATAATTTGTTAAATGAGTGTAATTTTGTTATAATACTATGGCCTCGTTGTCGTTACCGCGCGTCCTTCATCCTCGAAAAACCAGTCTTGAAATTGAACGCGAAAATTTCGAGAAATCGCAGGTAGGTGTGATTGTTTGGTTAGTTTGTGTTTGGGGCTTTATTTGTAACAAGTGGGGCTATTGTCCCTTGTGCACGCTATTAACGCACTAATTGCCCTAATTTCGTGTGTGTTTACATTAAAAAAACTGTTGGTTGATTATTTTAATTCCGGGAAAAAATGGGTTGTCGGTGTTTTAATTAGTTAATTAAGTCGGTCGTTCATTTGTGGGTCCCGTAATTGTATACAGAGTGTTTCAACGAGTCATGACTAATTGGAGTGAATTACCGGACGTTTCAGTTGGGAAATTTCAATCGATTCCAAACTTTCACTTCCGGTGGAAAAATGTTTTTTATTTTTAATAAAATTTAAATCAAATCTATTGCATCAATTATCCTTATCTTATCAGTCATTGAGATGGGTGACAAAATTGTGAAACGCTGAGTTATTACACCTTTTCTTCTCTACTTTGTTATCACTCACTTATCACCGATTTTCTTATTTACTTAATGTATAAGCAAAATATTGCCTGTTATGCATTTTTTGTGCCAAGTAGTTTATAAAATGTTGTAATTTGTTTGTTTGTGTATAAGTTGTTTTTTTTTCTTCATATTTTTACTTGTAATAATTAACATTTAATTTCAGATTTGCATGGTCTTGTATTAAAATAAATAAAAAACGTATTGCATGCCTTTTTTGGATTTTTCTCTAGCAGTTTTTAAAAAATGGCTAAAGTTTATACAGAACGGGATTATGAAAAATACGTAAGTATCACCCATGTGATGTTTATTTCATCTCAGTGACGTCATTCGTGTATTGAAAATTTATATTCCATGAAATAACCTTTCCTTGTAAGGAAAGAGATCATGAGAAATCGATTATTCACCACATCTGTACATCTGCACAGTTTTTTTTCCGGGAATCGTAGTGGGCCATGATATAGAAAATTGACATTTTGGATCACGTGGCATGGCTAAATCGATGAAATCGATATTTTTTTAGTTGACCGTGGTTTTTTATAAATTCCTTGGATCACACGGTAGATTTTACATTTTTATGCATATTTAGAAAAATTATTTTATACAAAGTGAGTGATTAAAGTTTTACAAAACTAGCTTTTTTTTGAAACATTAAAAGTCCATTTTCATTTTCGTAAATTTGGAAAGTGGTATATACAGTGTGATTGTCATTGAAATTTCATGATTTTTGAATAATTATTTTTTTAATTCGTATTAGAGTTAGTACAATAAAAATAGTTTTTCCTACTTCTTTCAATATTGCTTTTTAATTTACTTTACAGTGTGAGTAAATAAATATTTTTAGTGACCAACAAAGTTGTCCAATCTGTCTTTTTACTTTTTTTACTCCATAATTTTTTTTATTATTAATTTTAAATTATTTTAATTATTATCAATTAATTACATTAATTTTTGTATTCTTATGCTTTTTGCTTTTTATTATTAGTAGTAAAAATAATAATAATACAGGGTGCGTCATTAACCTTTTACATTCTTTAATTTTTTATCGTTTCAAATACTATTTATTATACAGTGTGACCACTGAAATAGCCTTAATATTCGTTTGTTACCGTCAATTCCATAATTAAAAAAAATCGTTTAAATGGACTAAAAAACGAATGTTTTTTACTTATATTGCCATTAAATATCGAAAAAATCTACAGGGTGTTTTCTTAATATTGCGAAAAATTTCTTAATATTGCATATTCTACATCGAGTAGCAGTAATTTGTCAAATACGTGATAGTTCTTTGTTTGCAATTTTTGTAATTATAAAAAAAACACCCTGTATATATACCGAGTGAGCAATCAATTTCTTTTTTCCCCTGTAATTCTGACTATTATTATTACTTTTTTATGCTTCATAATTATACAGTATACAGTGCTGAGTTATTTTTTTAATCCTATTTTTTTTAAATTAATTTTTGTATTTTATGATTTTTGCCTTTTATTATCAGTAATAAAAATTATAATAATACAGGGTGCGTCATTAACCTTTTACCTTCTTTAATTTTTTAACTTTTTAAATTTCAATACTATTTAATATACAGTGTGACTTATGAAATATTTTGCAAGCCTTAATATTCCTTTGATACCGTCAATTACATAATTAATTTTAATAAAAAAATTGTTTTAATGGACTGAGAAATTAATGTTTTTCACTTATATTGCTATTAAATATCGAAAAAATTTACAGGGTGTTTTCTTAATATTGCGAAAAAATAGAACCGCATATTGTACATCGAAAAAAGAAGTAATTTCTCAAATCAATGATAGTTCTATGGTAGCAGTTTTTGCAATATTAAGAAAACACCCTATATACTGAGTGAGCAACCAATTTCTTTTTATTTTTTCCCCCAAAATTCTGACTATTTTCATTACTTTTTTTTGCTTAATAATTAAAATCGACATTGTAATTATATACAGTGTGAAGTATTAAAAGTACTTTACTTTTCGATAACTTTAAAATTTCATCAATATACATATATAGGGTGTTTTGTAAATAGACCAAAAACGGAAAATGCCAAGTTAAATAAGGTACCAGGAACATGAAAGAAATGTTAAAAAAATTCTTTCTATAAAAATTTCGAAGTTATGAGAGTTTAAATTTTGCACTTTGACTCTTTTTATTTCTGTTGGAAACAAGGAAGCTGTATCCTAAATTATAACGCTGTTTAATGTTATTTGTGGCTTTTATTGGCATTTTTTTTACCTTTACTGAATAATTATAAAAAAACATATACAAGATCATCAGTATCATTAAATAGACATAAAAAATGTCAAATGTCAAAGTAAATGTCAAAATTTTTTGACAGTTAAATTTTTTTTAATGTTTCTGGAATCTTATCTTACTTTGCATTTTCATTTTTTTGGTCTATTTACAAAACACCCTGTAGTTTTGAAGCTAAAATACAAATAGTTTCTATTTTTTAGATCTTATTTCATGACAATTTATTTTACAGTTTAACCAATGAAATATGTACTTTACAAGCCTTACCTATCAAATCCATAGCCAACTGGACTCAACCAAGTTGTTTTATTTTCCAGGCTCAAGCCCTCTCGAAAGCGATCAACAGTCAGGAAACTCCCGTAAAACAAAAACATGTTCGTTCGGCCATCATTGGCACATTTCACACTCAAGGTGCGACAACATTTTGGTCAATTGCTCTTAAACTACCAGCGATGGACGACCGAATCGTCGCTTGGAAATTATGTCACGTGGTCCATAAAATCCTCCGTGAGGGTCACCCCTTGTGCCTTGTTCATAGTCAACGACACCGTCACGATCTTGACGAAATCGGAAAATTATGGGTGCGCAAAAACGATTTTTCCTCCCAACAGGGAATAAAGTGACGCTTTATTTCTGTTTTGTAATATATCCCTTGAATTAAAAATGCCCTCGGCTCCTTTCGACCACCTCTGGGGTTACCTAATAATAAATACAGGGTGTCCCAGCTAGTTGATTAGTGACCTTTAAACGGTAAAATTAAATTAAAAAAATAATATACCGGGTGAATAAAAAGTATGGAACCAAGCTTTTTTTTCGTAAACTAACCACTTTAGTCTAGCCTAAAGTACAATTGAAATATGACCCTTTATCAGGAATAATATTTTTCGAAATTTCTTTTAGTTTTCGAGTTTAAATGGCAACCCACCATAATTTTTTTAATTAAAAATTATGATTAAAAATGGCCATTACAAAATTAACCTGTTTCGGGTTTTTTTTGCATTCTTTTTCTAAGATGGTTCGTTTTTATTAGAACACCTGTATCTCATGAAAGAATGGTCTGATTCAATTTTGGTAAAAAGTTTTGAAAATCTTGCTAAAATAGCTTTCATTTAATGTGCCACAAGTAGGGTAGTGCCATTTAAAATTTTAAAGTTGGAGTGCGTGGGGGTTAAAGTGTTACTGAGGGTTATTTAAAAATTACGTCAAAAAATGTCCCCCTCGGAGACAAAATCGACCTGTTTCGGCGTTTTTGCAAAGTCTTTTTAGTTTCTGAGATATTCGAGGTGGCTCGTTTTCATTAGAACACTGTATATTTTTTAATTTTACCATTTAAATGGACTTTTTCAACTCGCTGGGACAGCCTGTATATCCCTTGAATTAAAAATGCCCTCGGCTCCTTTCGACCACCTCTGGGGTTACCTAATAATAAATACAGGGTGTCCCAGCGAGTTGAAATAGTCCATTAAATGGTAAAATTAAAAAAATAATATACCGGGTGAATAAAAAGTATGGAAACAAGCGTTTTTTTCGTAAACTAACCACTTTATTCTAGCCTAAAGTATGACCCTTTATCAGGAATAATATTTTTCGAAATTTCTTTTAGTTTTCGAGTTTTTTAAAAAATATATATTTTTTTAAATGGCATCCCACCCTATTTTTTTAATTAAAGATTATGATTTAAAAATGACCTTTAATTAAATAAAATTGTTTTTTAGCCATTACAAAATTAACCTGTTTCGGGTTTTTTTTGCAATTTTTTTTCTAAGATGGTCCGTTTTTATTAGAACACGTGTATCTCATAAAAGAATGGTCTGATTCAATTTTGGTAAAGTTTTGAAAACCTTGCTAAAATAGCTTTAAAATGTTAAAGTTAGGATGCGTGAGGGTTAAAGGGTTACAGGGGGTGATTTAAAAATTACGTCAAATTCTGAGATATTCGAGGTGGCTCGTTTTCATTGGAACACCCTGTATATTTTTAAATTTTACCATTTAAAGGTCACTAATGGACTTTTTCAATTCGCTGAGACAGCCAGTATATCCGTTGAATTAAAAATGCCCTCGGCTCCCTTCGGTCACCTCTGGTGTTATCAACATTTTCGGAATTGATTATTTTTTTAATAGTAAAGATTTATTTTTAGGTGCATTTGAGGGAGGGATACGGCAAGATGATTCGTTTGTATACAAGTCTGCTTATGACAAAATTGGATTTTCATCGGAAAAATCCTCGTTTTCCCGGCCATTTGGGCGTTTCGCACGAGGAATTGGAGTCGATTGGCGGCAACGACATTAATAATTAGTAAGTGGCACTCGCTACGCTCGTTCGTGATTTTATTTTAAATTGATTTTGTTAAAGTTTTCAAATGACTGTGGAAATGTTTGATTATTTGGATAATATAATTGACTTGCAAGCTGCCGTTTTTGGATCACTTGATATGGCAAGATCGAATTCGATGACAAGTGCGGGACAGTGTCGATTGGCACCACTGATTCCATGTATCCAAGATGCTTCCAAATTATATGATTATTGCGTCAAAATACTATTTAAACTACATTCTGCCTTACAACCCGACTTACTKRTAGGACACAGACAGAGGTTTCTCAAACAGTTTAAACAATTGAAATRGTTTTATCAAAATACGAGCAATTTGCAATATTTTAAAGATTTGATTGCGATTCCGCCACTACCAGAGGTAAAAAACTGACATTTGAGACGATTTAAACAAAAAAAATTCTTGTAGAATCCACCGAATTTTTTAATACAGAGTGACCTTCGAACATACGTAACGCAAGAAGTTGTAGTACCGCAAGAACCGGAAGAGGAACATGTGACTGAAGGTAGTCTCATTGATACGTCCGAAACGTCGGATGTCATCGATAATCACAGTCGACATTCAATTTCGCCAAGTCCGGCCCATCAGGAAGTCTTAGTCGAGCGAGATTTCCTCAAAAGTCAATGCGATAAATTGAGGTTTGTTACATTTTCCATGTCTTTCAGTATATTTACTCGTCTATGATTTTTAAATTAAGTTGGCAACACTGATGGAAAAAGAGAAAATTGACCATTTTTATGATAAAATCGATGATTTTTAATTATTTTAATTGGCCATGGGGTTTTTATATTCCACAACTAACTTGATTGTAACCAGTCAAAAAATGATGTTTTTTTATGTTAATTTTTAATTTTTATTTTGAATTTTTATACAGGGTGAGTAATTGAAGTTTTACAAGTCCAGCTTCTCTTTTTTTTTGATTTTTTTCCTCTCCACAATCACCTACCATTTTTTGTTACTTTTGCATAACTAATTATTAAAATAACACTCAAATCAGATACAGGGTGAATCAGAAAAATTCTTGACGAAGTTAAATTTTCGAAAAACATTGTTAAATGATAAAATACTATAAAAATGTGATGTTTTGCATTTTTTTTTCTATAAACCATTTTTTTCATCTAATGATTAACTTTTTTCAAAAAAAAAATTTTCATAAATTACAATTTTGACAAAAAAATCGCATAACTCAAAAACAAAACAAAATTTCGTTCTCACAATACGAATATTACTTTAATTTGTATTAATTCTGTCTGTTACATTTTCCATCTCTTTCAGTATATTATTTTCGTTCAAATTTATATTCGTTCAAATTTATCATCCAGTCGTCGATGATTTTAAAATTAAGTTGGCAGCATTGTTGGAAAAAGAGAAAATTGACATTTCCATCACGTATCAAATGCCATTTTCATGATGAAATCGATGATTTTTACTTTTTCTTAGTTGGCCATGGCGTTTTTTYATATTCCACAACTAACTTGATTAAAACAAATCGAAAAAATGCTGTTTTATGATTAATTTTTTTTGTGATAATTTCTTCACTTTTTTAATTTTTATTTGTTTTCTATTTATAACTATTTTGAGAAATAATAATACAGGGTGAGTAATCAAAGTTTTACAAGTCCAGTTTCTCTTTTTTTTTTTGATTTTTTTTCTCTCCACAGTCACCGACCATTTTTTGTTACTTTTGCATAACTAATAATTAAAATAACACTCAAGTCAGTTACAGGGTGAATCATAAAAATTCTTGACAAAGTTTAATTTTTTTGTAAAAAAAGCAAAAACTAATTGTTGAATGATGAAGTACTATAAAAATGTCATGTTTTATCAAGAATAAAATTTTTCGAAATTTTCTTTTGTTTTTGAGGTCTACAATTTTTTTTCTATAAACCGTTTTTCTCATGAAGGTGATGATCTAAGAATTACAACTATCTACTTTATATTTAATTTTTTCAAAAGAATTTTTTTACATAAATTGCAATTTTGACAAAAAAAATTACATAACTCAAAAACGAAACAAAATTTCGTTCTCAAAATACGATCACATTTATATTAATTTTGTTTGTTACATTTTCCATGTCTTTCAGTATATTATATGCGTTCAAATTTATCATCCAGTCATCTATGATTTTAACATTAAGTTGGCAACATTGATGGAAAAAGAGAAAATTGACATTTCCGTCACGTATCAAATGCCATTTTCATGATGAAATCGATGATTTTTACTTTTTCTTAGTTGGCCATGGCGTTTTTTAATATTCCACAACTAACTTGATTAAAACAGGTCAAAAAATGATGTTTTTTATTTAATTTTTTTGTGATAATTTCTTCACTTTTTAAATTTTTGTTTTGTTTACTATTTATAACTATTTTGAGAAATAATTGTACAGGGTGAGTAATCAAAGTTTTACAAGTCTAGTTTCTCTTTTTTTTTTGTTTATTTTTCTCTCCACAGTCACCGACCATTTTTTGTTACTTTTGCATAACTCATAATTAAAATAACACCCAAGTCAGATACAGGGTGAATCACAAAAATTCTTGACGAAGTTTATTTTTTTTTGCATAAAAAAGGAAAATCAATTGTTGAATGATGAAGTACTATAAAAATGTCATGTTTTATCAAAAATAAAATTTTTCGAAATTTTCTTTTGTTTTTGTAGATTTTTTTTTATAAAACCAGGATTACAACTATCTGCTTCATATTTAATTTTTTCAAAAAATTTTTTTACATAAATTGCAATTTTGACAAAAAACGTATGACTCAAAAACAAAACAGAATTTTACTTTAATTTATATTATTTTCTGGGCGCAAATAATTAAAAAAAACCGCTTGGTTCCATACTTTATATTCACCCTGTATATTCTTTTCATTATTTTTTGAGTGGCAACCAAAGTTTTACAAGCTGTCTTTTTTTTTCATAATTACTGACTATTTTTGTGGCTTAAATTGTCAACACTGTGAAATTGACAGTGACTCAGAATTGCCAACATAATTTGAATCACAGCCTACTTTGTTGTAATATTTTTTTTGCAGTTCGGATATCGGAATTTTGTTGGCTCGTAATCAGAAAATCGTCGACAATTATCAAACAAAAATCACGAATCTTGAGACAGAACTGGCGACAAAAGAGAGTCAATTGGTGCAAGAGCGTCAAATCAAGGAAGAGTTGATGAATCAGGCATTTGCTGTTGCGCAGTCGCAGGATTGTGAACGTAATTAACCCCGCCCCCTGGTTGAGTTTTTAGCAATAATTGCATAGTTCATTTTTTTTTTTAGAAAAAGTTAAAGATGAGAAGTTTAATAAATTGAAAGATGTTTATGTGAAATTACGCAATGATCATATACAAAAATTGCGTGAAATGGCCGAAGTCGAGAAAAAGTTTAATCAATTGTTGCAAAAAGTTGAATCGATTGAACAATCGAAAGTCGAACTTGAGACAACGATACTATCTTTAAGGGAAGAAGTGGCAAAGTCGGAGGAAAAATTACAGAAATCTGCAAATTGTCAAAATGAAGAGTTGGAAACACTAAAGAGAGATAAAGAGTTGTTTAATATGGAGACGGAAGTAATGTTTTGTTAGGGCATTTTTGGTTTGATTTATTTATTTTTTTTTTTGTAGATTTTGAAAAAAAGTATCGATGATGCGTGTAAAGAAAGGGATGGTTTGATGGTCGAATTGAGGGAAATTCGAGGGAAAAATGAGGGGTTGTTGAGGGAGGTTGAGGAATGGAGTGAGAAGTTTAAGCTTTTGCAGGAGGAGAGTGAGATAGGTTGGTTTTTAATGTTGGCAACATTGAATATAGTGTAAAGATCGAATTACCATTCTGGTTGATGTGGTTCGTGAAATCTTAATTTGGCAACACTGACTTTCAAGTTTTGGCAAGCGGCCGCTAACAATAATTCAGTGTTGCCAACAGATTTTTTGTTATAATTATTTATAAAAATTGAAGTTTGATAATAATCTTTTGTCTCTATATTCTTCAATATTACCAACTTAATTTCAAAGTCACAGGTCACATTGATCAGAAATTTAATGGAGTGCGTTTTTGGGTTATTTTCTCGAGAAATTGAAATATACAGAGTGACTCATCCAAATTTTCCAAGTCTGGTCTATTTCTTTTTATGAAAGTTTATTTGATTATAAATGCTTAATTATAAGAATTAAAAAAAAGATTCTAAAACATCGAAGTTATTTAAAAAAAAAATTAAATGGTTTTAGCCGAGGCGAAGCCGAGCGCTTTTGCCCAATTAGAGCCAACTGTATATCAATAAATATGAGAAAACGTCTCTAGGTGGCGCTGCTTAATTATTTTTATCATTAAAAAATGTTTATAAAAATTGGAATAGTGACTTCAAAATTTCCAAAGTTCGATCACTTTTTCTCTAAATGAAATGTTTAAGCTTTAAAATTTCTGTCAAAATCTTGTCTTTTTTGTTTTATTATCGTATTTTTGTTTAAAATTTGAGTATTAGATGAAGATTAAATGAGTTTGGCCGAGGTGAAGCCGAGCGTTTTCACCTAGCTAGTGCCAGCTGTGAATAAATAAAGATAAAAAAATTCTTTTTTCGTTAAAAAATGATATTTTACGGTGCTTAAGAATTATTATCACAAAAAATAAATCGAAGTTTTACAAATCCTACCTGGTTTTTAATGTTTACGCTAAAAATTTTGTTTTTTGTTTTATTGTTGTATTTTTGTTTAAAATTTGAGTATTAGGTGAAGATTAAATGAGTTGGCCGAGGCGAAGCCGAGCGTTTTCGCCCAACTAGATTCAAATAAATAAAGATGAAAAAGTGCCTCCAGATGGCGTTGATTAATTATTTTTTCATTAAAAAATGTAACAATTAACACAAAAAAAAAAACAAATCAAAGTTAGTTTTAGAAATACTGTCTTTGTATTTTAATGTTTACGCTAAAAATCTTGTTTGAACGAGTTTGGCCGAGGCGAAGCCGAGCGCTTTCGCCCAATTGAAACCAAATGTTTATCAATAAATATGAGAAAACATCTCTAGGTGGCGCTGATTAATCATTTTTATCATTAAAAAATGTTTCTAGATTGTTATCTTATAAAAATTGGAATAGAGTGACTTCAAAATTTCCAAAGTTTGATCAATTTTTCTCCAAGTGAAATGTTTAGGCTAAAATTTCTGTCAAAATCTAGTTTTTTTTTTTGTTTTATTATTGAATTTTTGTTTAAAATTTGAATATTAGGTGAAGATTTGAGTTTGGCCGAGGCGAAGCCGAGCATTTTCACCTAGCTAGTGCCAACTGTGAATAAATAAATATAAGTGCTTCCAAATTGCCTTGATTAATTCTTTTTTTTTTTCTTTAAAAACTGATATTTTACAGAACTTAAGGAGTATTATCACAAAAAAATAAATCAAAGTTTTACAAAGTCTGTTTGGTTTTTAATGTTACGTTAAAAATTCTGTTAAAATTTTGCGTTTTTTGTTTTATTATTTAAAATTTGAGTATTAAGCAAAGATTAAATGAATTTGGGCGAGGCGAAGCCGAGCATTTTTGCCCAACTAGTCCAACTGTGAATAAATAAARATGAGAAAATGCCTCCAGATGGCGTTGATTCATTATTTTTTCATTAAAAAATGTAACGATTATCACAAAAAAATCAAAGTTTTAAAAATAATGTCTTTGTAGTTTAATGTTTTTTGCTTTATTACTTTATTTTTATTTAAAATAATTATTATTATATTAGTATTGTGTATTAGGCCGTGAATGAACGAGTTTTGCCGAGGCGAAGCCGAGCCCTTTCACCCACTTTTTTTTCCAAATATTGATCATTTTCAGTTAAGAAAACCAGTGAAGATGAGATACGAAAAATCGTCTTGGAGTCACTCGAAAACAACGAAATTATCCTAAAACAAGCCCTCGACGAGATTGACAACCCTGCCCTGACAGCCCTTTCATGCAGTCCCGATTATTTACGAAGTTTAAGTAAAATCTGTCTCGATTCGTTAAAATACGAAACGGATTTGATAAAAACAACGAATTCTTACGTAATCGTCAAAGCGAACGAAATAACACATCGAATTTCACTGTTTGTTATTCAAGGACGAGCGACGGGTAACAACAGTCCTGATATTAATTTCGGCGAAAGTGAGTTTAATTAATTAATTAATTTTTTCAAATAACAATAATTAAAAAAATTAGAAATGGCCGACGAATGCAAGATTTTGTGTGGAATCATCCTGAAACTCCTCCAGTGTTTCAAAGACGGTTCTGACACGAAATCGCTTCAAAATCAGGCAATTGTGAAACTCGAAGAAGTCGCCGCACTCGCTGATAATATCAATTTATCAATGAATGGAATAAAAGCCGAAAATTTGGCCGATTTACTCGAAAATGAAATGATGCAAATGGATAAAGCGATCGAGGAGGCGGCCAATCGAATTCAAGTATTTTTCACTGTTACCAACTTAATTTCAAAATTTAATTCAACTCTTCTAGGACATGCTTACGAAATCTCGAACCGCCGATTCGGGCATAAAACTCGAAGTTAATAGCAAATTACTCGATTCTTGCACGACTTTAATGCAGGCGATTAGAGTCCTAGTGCAGAAATCGCGATTATTACAGGCCGAAATTGTGGCACAAGGAAAAGTAAGTGAAATTGGTGGAAAATTTGTGCAAAAAAACCGTTTTAGGGTACGGCGAGTGCGAAAGAGTTTTACAAACGGAACCATCAATGGACCGATGGTTTTATTTCGGCGGCGAAGGCGGTCGCAGTGGCGGCGAAGTTTCTTTTGTGAGTGTCAAAAAATGGTTTTTGTGTGAGAGAAATGGTGGTTTTTCTAGGACGGCGGCTGATAAAGTGGTTTCCTCGAACGGTAAATTGGAACAAATGGTGGTGGCGGCGCAGGAAATCGCCGCCTCCACGGCGCAATTGGTTGTGGCGAGTCGAGTGAAAGCCAATAGGAATAGTGCGAATTTGCAACAGTTGACACAAGCGTCCAAAGGTGTGACGACAGCCACGGGAACGGTTGTGGCGACGGTTAAGGATTGTAGTCAGTTGATTGATGAAAATGGTGGTTTTTGGCTTGATTTTTTTGATTAAATTTTATTTTTTTTTTTATTGTAGAAGAGTTAGATACGTCGAATTTGACTCTACATCAAGCCAAGACGTTAGAGATGGAATCTCAAGTGAGGGTTTTAGAGTTGGAGAAGGAGTTGGAACAGGAGAGACACCGGTTGTTGGCCTTGAGGAAGCATCATTACAAGCTTGAGGAGGAAAATTGAGGAGGCTCAAAATTTCGCATTAGAGAAATTCCAAAGATAATTGTTAAGTATGACTACAAACCGTTGCATTTTACGTAATTTATGCGTATATTAATTTAACATTAATTTTATAACTGTTTGTAATTAATACATGATGTAATAAATTATTGTAACTAGTTTTCACTTTTCAAGATTACAGGTTTCTGTCACTATTTAGTGGGTAGAAACCTGTAATTTTTTCGTTAAGAATTACAGAAACCTGTAATTTCGATGCTTGTTTTGGAATAATAACAAAAAGCTGGATTGCTTGTTATCACAATAAAATGCAATAACGGTGTATTATAAAAATATTTCTATACAAATATAAGTATTTGCGTTTAAAATATCGGCCTTTCACAATTTACTCTTTGGCTGTTTAAAATCGGGAGCATCAGGTACGATTATCTCTCTCCACCAATGCGGACGTGTCATCGAGTCGGGGTTTCCCATAATAGCAGCTTGGAGGTTTTCGTACAGCTACGAACACCATACATTATTTTTTCTACTGCTAAAGAACAGTTACCTTTCCGTCCGACTTGCCCAGAACTGAATTGACGACGTAATCGGGGGGCGCCATGGCGTCAATTACCCCCAAAATATTGTCTTTTAATCTGTCACACAACTCGAGAACGCCTTCTTTGATTAAATGGGAAAAAGTGGGAGTGTTTGTGAAACCCCCTTGGTAGAAATAGGAGGAGTATTTATCCACATTGACCAAGCCGTAGAGAAGCCCTAAGTGCCCCAAAACGTCCTGTAGGGACTTTTCGGACCTTGATAATTCTTTGCAATAAAATCTAAATGCGTTGTATTCGGCGTAAACTCGCGTTAGGACTGACGCGCAATAAACCTGAGACTTATTCCGAGCTTCCGTTTTACAAAAGCCCCTTTTTAGCAATTTCTGTTGTTTGTTGTAAGTTTCCCCCACTAGGTATGTAATCAACCACTCGTAACACGKGTGSARAACTAAAACAGAAACCTGTAATACCGACCTTCAACCAAATACAGATTTGTCAACAAGAAATTACCACCTAGGATTTGAACTTTTAGGAAAATTACGTTTTCCATGTTGTTTGTAACTAGAATTTTCAGAAGTAGTTTTATATGCCTAAGGTTGGTTACTCCTTGTTGTTGTCAATTGACGTTTTCTGTCAACCTGCTGTCAACTATCAATTAAATTATGCATACAAACTGACAGGTGACTTATCCTAAATTTTGACACTAGTGACGATATCTTTTGTTTGTGACCAGAAACCAACCTAACCAAATTTATGGCAACCTATTCACAAATATCCCTAAATCCTAGGGAGTAATTTCTTGTTGATACGACAATATTATTTCATAATCTACTAAAACAGGGAACACAACTGTCACAATATTTGTCAAAAATTGACAGCCAAATGTCGATGTTGGTTATGTTTCCCCTATTTCGTTTCATTTTCAACGCCATCTAGCAATTTTACTCACAGTTCAAATCGAGAACCTCCTGCACCCTCTCCAAACCGAACTTCCGTTTCAAAATCTCCCCCGAGTGTTGGAAAAACGCACAAGTCCCCAAGGGGGAGCACAACTCCTCCTCACCCCTCATTTTCTCCCACTGTCTCACCAACCAATTGCTCGCCTGTTGCCCCAAAACGTTGTTGTCCCCCTCGTAGGTGACACAGGGGTCTATAGCCCCCCGCAAGTCCCCGAATCGGGCCGATTTGAGAAAACCGTGGCCCCCACATGCCTCACGACACTCCTGGACCGCGTCTCGACACACCCACGTGATCAGGGGCTTAGCACTGGAGACCACAGCGTGGATCTCGGCCACGACGCTCGTCTGAAATGGGCCAATCAAATGACAGCGTTCGGGTCACGTGTGTGGCAAACGCCAATCAAATCGCATCACGTGTTTAGAAACCACCAATCAACTGTCACCATAAACAAGTTTATTACATATGTCATTAAAAATCTTCTTAATTGCCATTCCAGTAATAAATTTTATCACACGAGTAACAATGGAAATGCTGATTATAGTGGGCTGTGATTTTGAAATTAAGTTGTCAACATGAAATGGGCTAATCAAATGACAGCGTTCGGGTCACATGTGCGGCAAGCGCCAATCAAATTAGTTTTTCGCATCACGTGTTTAGAAACCACCAATCAACAGTCACGATAAACAAATTTATTACACATGTCATAAAAAAAAACTTTTTTTATTGCCATTTCAGTAATAAATTTTATCACACGAGTAACAATGGAAAATAGGTTAATTAAAATAATAAATAAATTATAGTGGGCTGTGATTTTGACATTAAGTTGTCAACATTTTATTTGACAATTTTATTATTTAAAATTAAAACACTGAATAATTGGTTACTAGGGCTATGCCAGCAGACGCCCCTCGGTAGAGATGGGCAAAAAATATCGATGTTTTTCAAACATCGAATATTAGTCAAATACATCGATTTAAAAATGTGTAAGTATTATTCTAAATATCGATGTTTTTACTTCGATACATCGAAATTGGTTTAGTTACTTTAGTTGATTATTTTAAATTATCTTTAATTTTTTTTTAATTTTAAAATTTCATTCGATAAAATTTAAATTCGATGTATGGAGAATTCGATGTTTTTTTTTAACAAAATTAACGATGATGTAGGTGGTTAAGTTTTATGTTTGTAGTTTGTATTTGTTTATGTTTTATGCAAGAATTGTAAGAAATATGTTTGTATTTGTATTTTTTTATATTCCAAAAATTTATTATTAAAAAAAATGGTAAATGTTTTTTTTTTTTCAATAATAACATCGATTTTTTTAAGTATCGATGTTTTGGGGCGATATACAGGGTGTTTCACGTAATTTTACGAGGCCTGCGCCTGTAAGATGCAATCAATAATACATATTCCGATACGAACTCGATTACAAATTTTGAAAAATTGGATAATATTCTCTAGTTTGTTCACCCTTTCAAAAATTACGACGTTTTTGGTTAGTTAGTAATTAAGATAGATAAACTAGAATCATATTCATGCCGTCTCTTGATAGAACAAATGATAATTATTTCTGAAAAACTGCAGTTAATAATAATAATAATGAAACAGTGATTAGTTTGACAACTACTGTCATGGGTTTCCAAAATTTAAATAATTAAATGTGTATTTTTTGTATCCAGTGTTCTGTGACTTTTGTATGTTTGGGTGCGTATATTAGGCGCAAGCCTCGTAAAGTTAAGTGAAACACCCTGTATATTACATCGATGATTTCTTATTCGATCGTCGATGTCACAGAACATCGATATAAATTTCTCGATGTTCCCATCTCCACTCTCGGAAACGAATGACAGTTGACTAAAATTTTGACGTTTGAATCTGACAGTCAACGTTGCCAACGTAAAAACCGCCAAAATCCCCCAACTTTTTAGCCAACCACTCACCAAATCCTCGATTTGCGTGGCCGAAGTGGACTTTTGGACCGTCGCCAAATACTCATCGGTGAATCCCGCGACAAAAATCTTCAAAACAGCGGCGGCCGCCACATATGGGAAAACCCTCCATTGCTGAAACAACCCAAAAGTCACCAATCTCCCCTCCACTTCCCCCTCCACTCACATGCAATTGGTACTCAATAATAGGCAACTCGCTTCGTTCGTCGGGGCTCTTGGCGAACTGTTTTCGCACAACGGCGTACCTCACCGCAATCGTAACCGCACACACCAAATTATTCGCACTTTCTTGCATGATCCCCACCCTCCCGGTGGAGAGGTTCTCCAAAGCGGCCCCCAGGATTTTCCCCGGCTCGGAGAAGCTGCTCTTGTACTCCCCCTCGGGGGTGACGTCCCCCGTGCGATTCAGGAGGTTCTCCCGCGGGATTCGGTAGTTTTGGAACATGATGAACCCATTGTCGATACCATGGAGGCCGATTTTCTCGCCCATGTCGCCCACGACGATCCCGGGGTATGGTAGAAGAGTCTTGGGGTCTCTGATGGGCACCACGAACGCGTGCAACCCATAGCATTGCCCATTGGTGTGCAATTGGGCGAAGAGGAGGGCAATGGTACAAGTCTTGCCCAGATTGCCCACCCAGCATTTCGCCGCCTCGAAATCCGGGGTGTTTATCACGAATTCTTGACTATTTTTATCAAAGGTGGCCGTGGTACGCATTTGTTTCGTGTTGCTACCATGCGCGATTTCTGTCAAGGCTAAACAAGAGAGAATCTGCAAATTTTTATAACCCAACGAACGGCGATCGTCGATTGTTTCACCTTCCCGCTCCAGGCGGCGTCCAGCACTTTTTTGTGTCTTTCCGTCCCTAGGGTGGTAAGTGTGTTCTTAAACAACCCAAGTCCTATGGCGTGTTTGACGGAGACGTCGGGGAAAGTCACGGCTAACGCCTCGTTTATTGTCATCATGTAGCGCGTCTAGGGGCACAAAATCAAGCAAGCGCGGTAGTAAATTACCACTTACCTTGCGCTTGTATGGTAAGTTGGCCATTTCCGGGGTTACGAAACTCAATTGACAGTATTTTCGGAGTTGGAGGGCCGCTCGACGCTTCATTTCCTCCGAGTTTAATTCGGTTTTGGGTTTCTGGAAAATTGGGTCTTTTTCCAGAGTTTCCCATACTCGCATCTGGAAATTTTGTTTTTTTTTTTGTTTTTTTTTTTTTAATTTGAAAGTGATTTTGTTACTTTGACTTTGAGTAAATCGGGGTCTTCGAAAAAAAGTTTCATTTTTTTCCAGTCGAAGGTCGCACGATCGCGGTAGGCGTCGAGGGGGCCCGAAGGCAGGTCTTTTATGAAACTGGTGTCGGCCATTTTGCTAAAACTAATCGCAAAATTTAATACCACAACAATGTTGATTGCAAAAAAGTTTTGCATTATTTCGTTATCACAAAGGACATTAGATATACGTGAACAATAATTATACATGATAACATTAAAGAGAGAGAGAGAAGAAAACAAAGAAAGACTGGAGAAGTGTCAAATTTCATATTTTCTGTCTCATTTTTTTTACCAATTTGAACATCACAGCTTACTTATTCTAGCTGGACTCTAGAGAGAAAATTAAAAAGAGAAGAGAAAAAAAGAGAGAAAGGAAACAAGACAAAAATAAGTAGAGAAAAGAGAGGAAAAAAAAGTGATATCTTCTGTCTCGTTTTATTTAAAGTAAAGAGAAAGAAGACAGAAATAAGTAGAAAGGAGAGAAGAAAAAAGAAAGAAAATTAAAAAAAGAAGTGTCAAACTTCATATCTTCTGTCACATTTTATTCAGCCTTGCAAATATCTTCTGTCTCATTTTATTCAGCCTTGCAAACTTAATTTAAAAATCACAGTCTACTTATTTTAGCTGAACTCTGAAAGAGAAGAAAAAAGACAATTAAGTAGGGAGAAGAGAGAAAAAAAAAACAGTAAAGAAAAGTAAAGAAAGAAAGGAGAAGAGGTGCATCAAATTTCATATCTTCTGTCTCATTTTTTTCAACCTTGAAAACTTAATTTGAATATCACAGCCTACTTATTCGCGCTGAATTCTAGAGAAAAATGTGAAAATGGAGAATAGAGTGAAAAGACCAGAAAAACGAAATGAACAGAATAGAAGAAAAGAGGAAAAAGAAAAGAAAAACGACAAAAATAAGTAGAGAAAAGAGAGGAAAAAGTGAAGAAAGAAAGAAGAAGAGGTGCGTCAAATGTCATATCTTCTGTCTCGTTTTATTCAGTTTTGCAAAAGTAACAAAAAAAGACAGAAATAAGTATAAAGAAGAGAGAAGAAAAAAGAAAGAAAAATTAAAAAAAGAAGTGTCAAATTTCATATCTTGTCTCATTTGATTCAGCCTTGCAAACTTAATTTGAAAATCACAACCTACTTATTCTAACTAAGAGAAGAAAAGAAAAGAAAAAAGATAAATAAGTAGGGAGAAAAGGGAGAAAAATAAAAGAAAAGTAAAGGAAGAATGGAGAAGTGTCAAACTTCATATTTTCTGTCTCATTTTTTTCAGTCTTGCAAATTTAATTTGAAAATCACAGCCTACTTATTCAAGCTGGACTCTGAAGACAGACAAGTAAAAAGAGTGAAAAGATAAGAAAAAAAAGAAGAAAGTATGAAGAGAAGAGAAAAGAAAAAATACAAAGATAAGTATAGAAAAGAGGAAAAAAAAAGAGAAAAAAATGAAGAAAGAAAGAAAAAGAAATGCGTCAAATTTCATATCTTCTGTCTCGTTTTATTCAGTTTTGCAAAAGAGAAACAGTAGTAAAAAGAGTGAAAAGACAAGAAAAACGAAAAGAAGAAAAGAGAAAAAAGAGAGAAAAAAAAATAAATAAGTAGGGAGAAGAGAGAAAAAAAAAAGTGAAGAAAAGTGAAGACAGAAAGGAGAGGAGATTCGTCAAATTTCATATCTCCTGTCTCACTTTATTCAATCTTGCAAAAGAGAAAAGAGAGAAGAAAAAACGAAGGAAAAGTAAAGAAAGAAGGGAGAAGTCTCCAATTCCATATCTTCTGTCTCATTTTATTCAGTCTTACAAACTTAATTTGCCGATCACAATTTTTATTTCATTTGTCATTTTCCTTATTCAGTTTTGCCAACTAATGCCTAAAAAAACCACGACAACACAAAATGTGGCTTGTTATCCTTTGAAACTAAGCAAGTCTTCAATGCTGCCAAATTAACCAAGCCACAGCCGACTTTGATAAAAAATAGTCTATTAATTTAAAACGAAAATCATGACAAATTCTAAATCATGAAGTAATGATAAAAAAATTATATCTTCATTTTTGCCTACTTTGTAGTTTCAACAGATAATTTTCCTACAACGGAAAACAATCCGAGAACACGTTCTTGAAGTGTTTGATGACAACAACAAGAATTTAATCATGTAATACAAGCTTCATTACTTTAAAACAAACAAAATTTCATGTAAACGTAAATTAAACTGAAAAAATTGCAACATTGCAAGTTTTGTCGATCACGTGGTCAGTAACCACCAATCAAATGCCAGAATTTGGAAAAACGTCACAAAATGACTCACTGATACACTGGCGGACACGGAATTTTGGACGATTTATCATACGACTGACATAAAAATGTAAAACGGGCCTTAGGCAACTAACCTCACTTTCGGTTTTGTAATTTTTATCCTGACAGCTAGAGAAAAAATTACAACAAATCAAAATAATTATATAAAAACACGAATTGCTGGCATTATTGCCAAATAAATTTCAACTAAAACTTTCAAATGTTAGTTTCAAACGTCAATCAAAATGACAATAAAGCGTGGCTTACATTGACATTTTCTAAACTGTCATAAATTCCGTGTGTAATAAATCCAATATTTCAAAATTTTCATGGCAATTGTGTAATTTTTTATAGTTAATTAATCCATTGCAACACAAAGGCGAAATTACCCCATTCATCGCGTTAACAATATCACGAATTTCATTGGTTGGGTTGCCAGTCCTGTGAAAAATCCGAAAATTCAACTGTTTTATAAATAGCCAACGCTAATCTCGTCCACAAATTCAAATATCAGCCCACCCATGATTTCAAGGCTACCAAATTAAAGGTGTTAACAAATTACCGGTGATTTTCCCCCAGGGTGGCGCTTCTCCAATCGATTCCTGTCGCAGTCACGTGGTGCGGAAACGCCGGAAAACCAACACAATGTGAAAACTCACCGATTTTCCGAAATAAAAACAGCGGAAATTGAAAGAGAAGAGAGAACACCGCCCCTCACTTGTTGCACTACGAATGGGACGCCACTTCGGGCTCGACGACACGTCCGCGGCTGCTGCTTTCAGGCGGGCTGACGACCAAACCAAATTTGCACGTGGTGGTGGTCACGTGATCGACCCATCTGGGCGGAAACGGCGATGGGTCGACGAAATTTCACTTTGTTGATTTCGAATTGGGCTGATCTAGCAGGCATGTACTAGGGCTAGAACTAGAATTTATTCGCTATTACTCATAGTTATTGTATTAGATCATAAACGCTGATAACGGAGGCATTGGCGTATCCAGAGGGGGCTTAACAATATCAAGTTGCTGAGTCGGGTCGGTGTCATGACAACCTAACCTCAAAACGGTGAAAAAATTAAAATTTGACTTGAAATTGGTGATTTTATGTTTTTCATAAAGTTAGTGTGCTTTTCTGTGTCTTTATTGGTCATTGTTATCTTTTTCAAGGTCAAGAAAACGACTATAACCTTAATTGGTCATTGCACTAAAATTCAAGGTCACTAAATTTCTGTTGATAGCATTGGAACTAATGCTTTTCTGTCAGTTATTTCTGGAACAATCTGTATAATAAATACCCTGTAATAAAAAGAAACACGAATGGTTTATTTTTAAATACAAAAATAAGAATTTCGCCCCCTTTTTGTCCAGTTTCTAGTTACGCCACTGATAAGAGACTCATATTTTATAAAGCTTCCTTGTATCACGTATTTATGATGTAGAGAGAGAGAAAAGAGGAGAGAAGGAAGAAAAAAATAAAAAGAAAAAAAAACGTGAAAAAAAGGAGATTAGAGGTGTGTCAAATATCATATCTTCTGTCTCATTTTGTTCAGTCATAGAAACTTCATTTTAAAATCAGAATCACAAGAAAAAAGGCAGGAATAAGTTGGAAGAAGAGAGAAGAAAAAAATAAAAGTGAAGAAAGAAAGGAGAAGATTCATGTCTTCTGTCTCATTTTGTTCAGCCTGGCAAACTTAATTTGAAAATCACAGCCTACTTCTAGCGGGACTCTGGAGAGAGAAGTGAAAAGAGAGAAGAAAAAAGGAAAAGGGAAATTAAAAAAGACTAAAGAAAAAAGAGGGAAGAGAGAAGAGAAAAGAAAAAGACAGAGATAAGTAGAGAATAGAGGAAAAAAAAGTAGAGAAAAAAGGAGAAGAGAGCAGAAAAAAGACAGATAACTAGAGAAAATAGAGGAAAAAAAAGAGAACAAGAAAAGTAAAAAAAGGAAAAGAGGTGCGTCAAATTTCTTGCAAAAAAGGAAAGAAGAAAAGTGAAACGAAAAAAGACTGAAGAAAAGAGAATAGAAAGAGAATAAAGGAAAGAAAAAGAAAAGTAAAGAAGAAAAGGAGAAGAAGTGCGTCAAACTTCTTGCAAAGTCTTGCAAAAAAGAAAAGAGAAAAGAAAATAGACAGGAATAACTAGAAAGAAGAGGGAAGAAAAAAGTGAAAAAAGAAAGGGGAAGAGGTGTCAAATTTCATTTCTTCTGTCTCATTTTCTTCAGCCTTGCAAACTTAATTTAAAAATCATAGCCAACTATGGAGAGTGAAATTACAAGAGAGAAGGGAGAAGAGAAATGAGAAATAGGAAGACGAAAAGAAAGAAGAAAAAAGACAGGAATAAGTAAAAAAAAAGGGAGAAGAAATAAGAAAGAAAAGTAAAGAAAAAAAGGAAAAGTGTCAAACTTCATATCTTCTGTGTGATTTTATTCAGTCTTGCAAACTTAATTTCAGAATCACTGCCTACTTCAGCCTGGAGGGCGAAAAGAAAGAAAACAGCAGAAAAAAGAAAGAAGAAAAATGAGAAAAAAAAATAAAGAAAGAAGAAAAAAACAGACATAAGTAGAGAAAAGAAAAAAGAAAGAATGATGAAGTGTCACATTTTATATCTTCTGTCCCATTTTTGGGATTTTTTTATTTATTTATTTTATTTATTCAGCTTTGCAAACTTGGGAAACACACAGAAAAAAGAGACAAAAAAGACAAGAGAAAAAAAAGATAAAAGAAGGGCGACGAAAGAAAAAAGAGAAAAAAAAAATTAGAAAAAGTGTAAAATTTCATATCTTCGGTCTTATTTTGTTCAGTCTTGCAAACTTATAATTTGAGAATTACCGCCTACTTTCTGTCTAGTCATATTTTTTTAAATTGTCATTTTACTTCTTCAGTTTTGCCAATTAATGCCTTAAAAATCCTACTAAAACGGTTGTTATAGTTTGAAATTACGTTGGCAAGTCTTCAGTGCTGCCAACTTAATTAAACCACAACCCAAATTGCTTTCTTTTTGAAATTACGACTGTGAAATACAATTTTTAGTTACGCCACTGATAGATAATAAAAACCGGAAACGATAAAAATGTGAATATTAGTGTGCTTTTAGCACTCTAGATCGGTATAAATCTCCCCATCACTTATTCATTCATTCATTTTCAAACGTAATTAATAAACGGAAACAGGAAATAGTTTGCAAGAATTTATTTCGATTACGCGACATCAACAACAATGTTGTTTAATCAGTAGCATATTTATTGAAATTTTCACACACATTCAAGGTCACGCAATTTGTCATATTGTATAATTATTGATAACGTATGCCTCGACCCTTAACGTTTTATTAGTGTATCTTGTCTCCAATAAATCACTAAAATTCAACAAGTTTGTTTATTTTATCACGTTTATTGAACCAGTTGCTCTTAAACCTCCAAAAATAAATAAATAAAAATGCGGACGCCCATGGAGCGACATTTTCGTTTCATTGCCATGGTTACATCGCTTCATTACCATGGTTACATCATCGTTACTATGACAACAACTTGTTTGGTAAAATTACCATAGGCGTCGCGTGGGGATGGGTGTAAGGGGCAAAATAAAACTTACGTTTTCTAACAGTCTATTTATTGAACACTTCAATAGAGGCTAAAAGGAGGGGTACAATAAATTAAGTATATAACAAGTCACAGGTATTGAAAAATAGACAAGATTGTGACTTTTGGACGAATTTGAGTCAAGTATAAAAGCGTCTCTAACATTGAATTTTTTTGGTCATTTTACTCCATTTATATACATCATATATACAAGAAAATAAATGCAAGTAACACTGACTAAGGGTTTTATTGCACAAAAATCCTACTTTATTCATCCTTCTCGTCCTCGTCTTTCCCCTTGCGGAACAGCAGGGGGCACATGCCTAGGATGCACCCCAGAGTGACCCCCAAGACGCGTCCGAAGTTGGCCGCGTTCCGCGAACACGTCATGTCCATCTGGATGGGGGACAGCTTCGGGGGGCGAAACCCTATCTTGTTGGCGAGACGCTCGACGTAGAAGGCCGTCCCGATGCCCAAGACGTCCGAAAGCGTGTTCCCCAGGGCGGCGGCCGCCATCGTCGTCATGCAGAAATACGACCCCAAGTAAAGGTCGATGTAATCGCCCTAAAAACCCAAATCACACCACAAAAACACGCATTTTGCACTCTCACAAATAACAACATGAAGAAGTTGTCCAAGAAGCCGAAGCCGATGAACGGGATCGAGTTGGCGATGGCGACTGAAATAACAGATTTGTCACCAATTTAAGCCCAAATCTGGACCAGTTTTATACTCACTGCCCATCAAGTTCCTGCTGGTGGGGCGAGGCACCGATTCGGCTAAAACCACACCAATTAGGGGCTAAAAAGACACTTTACACACTCCACGAGCAAAGCCATGCAAAAAAACCCAATAAATACGCGACTAAGGCTCTAATTACCCTAGTAATAATTCAAAAGTCATGCAAAGCTCCCTACGAAAGGGCTAAAATCTCATTATTTGCATACCAAATTTTTTCCTTAACCAGTCTTCGGGAACGGGACAATAGGATCCCGTAGGATCTACGTCTCCCAGTCTTGGCAATTTGCTCGGACGTCCGAATTTACTTCTCCATCGTGAGGCTGCTAGTTGACCTTAAGGTTGGACATTTAAAAATAAAAAAACACCCAAAATAAAGCCAAGAATTTTTAATCGTAAAAAGCCTCAGACGTCTGACCCTGTTTTTGTTCGTCAAAATAAGCTTATCAGTAGGCACGTAGTGATAAAATCTCGCAAATTAATTATTTTTTTTTGAAAAAAATCGCGCATGGTTAGGCAAATCAAGTCACGCGGGTGTATATTGAGTTGCCTACTTTCGGGGCAATTTCGCTTTAACGATGAAAATAAATGAAAAACAGCAACGTAAACGCTACAAATAGACAAAAAACACCACAAATACCTGTTCTTTACCTTCGTACTCGTCTTTGACTAGTTTTGATTGGTACTCTTGTAGCGCCGAAATCAGTATATTTCTCTCTTCACCGTTCAGTCTCAAGACCAATTCCTGCGCTTGTAATTTGGATAAGCCTTGCGTCGTGCTTGTAGTCTCCGCTCTACCAGCACTGCCATCCAATCTACAGCTTGTACTAAAATTAAGTTTGATATGTTGCGATCTACATGGGGAGAAATTCGTTAGTTTTGTTCGAGGGGGCGTCCAAACGATGGTGGTGACAATCTTTGATAAATCTAAGTGTCTCACTAGCTTGGTGGCCATCATGGGGGCGATTTTGTGCATTTAGTGGAGATTATCAACTTGTGGGGCGCACAGAGGGTGTCATTTTGCGACTATTGCACCACTTTAACACTTTTGCACCGGTTTTGCACTCCACACCCCGGTTTTAAACCCAAAATGCTTAAAAACTGTTTAAATCACTTGAGAAGAATCATCATCACTACAATCACCCCCTAATTCTGGTCTAGTGTGCTGACGTCAGTTTTTGTCGGCCGGAGTCGGGCTTTTTCGGCACACTTTCGGCGCCAAGTTTGAAATTTACTTAACAATCCTACTATTAATAACACTATTATGACAATTTCTTTAATTAAATTTAAATTAATCGTGTCATATACACACGTAAGGTCACAAAATCGAAAATTGCACGGTTTTAACACGTTTTTGTGTTTTTTTTTAGGTTAGGTGTACGCGCATGCGCTCTTTTATGAGGTGATTTCATCAAGGTCCATAATTAAAAAAAAGTTTCAGTGATTGTAAATCTGTTCAATTGAGACGTTTTGGGGCTGTTCCACGTGTGCCAACACCATGTCGAAGCTTCCGAAACGCACGAGAGACAAAGTGAGACTTTGCCCCATATTAGCCAATCACACGTGTCAAACTTTCAGAGACAGCTTGAGGGGCACCAGAGGTACATTTCGCGCATCACCAAGACGCTCTATTACGGGAAGTTCCCCAAAACGGACGAATTGAGTCTACCAGTAACAGGTGGGTGTGTGACCTTGAAAATGGGGGCTAAACCTTGTTTTGTAGAATTGGCCGCTGAGTTGTTCTCCGAGGCCCAGAGAGGCCGCTCCTTGGACCGGTTACACTGCGACGACGCTGCGAATATTTCACGAAATGCCTGCGTGTCCCCCTGCTCCCTCGTAATCGCGATTTTGTACCTAGAACGCCTGAAAAAGACATGCCCCGAGTACCTCGACCGGACAGCCTCCTCGGACTTGTTCCTCGTGTCTCTGATGGTCTCGTGCAAGTTTCTCTACGACGATGGGGAGGCCGACGAGGTTTTCATGAACGAATGGGCCGTTTGTGGGGGCCTTAGTGTCAAACAATTGGTTCAGCTTGAAAAGGAGTTCCTTAGGGCTATCGTAAGTCTCATGACGCGTCATTTCACCTCTGACTTTTCCTCCCTAGGACTGGGAAGTGTTCGTTACCGAGCTGACATTCTGGAAGAAATTGGCCGAGATTGAGGGGGCTTTGGCCCGTAAGCAGGGCGGTAAGCGCGGCTTTTACACCTACACTGAACTGGAGACACTTTTAACAAGTGTCGAATTGCGAAATCTTATCAAAAATATTTTAACCGTTTCTGTGATCTTAATTGGGGCTTACACTGCAGCTTTATTGACTTTATTGGGGTCTGTCTTGATTGTTAGCCACATACCGGGGGCTTGTCTCCACCCGAAAATCGAACCAGCACGTCCAGGACTCCTCTACAACGAAACCAACCGTGTGAGCCCCCTCCATGTGGGGATTTTCCTCGCGTCAATTGAGAGTTTCCTAACACCGTTTTGTGAGCCCCAGAATGTCTCATGGGATTGGTGGAATGCCCCCACTATGACTTGGTTGTATGAAACGTCAAAATTTGTCGAAGTTGAGGCCCCAAAAATGGGGTTTGTGCGATACTACAAGGATTATTTTTTGAATTTGGATGACCCCAAGGAGGCAAAAGTCAGGATTCAGGACCAAATGGAGAGGTCCTGGCACGAGGAGTGGACGGATACGATAAATGAAGGGTTTTATAACAGGTATCTGCATTACCTACAAAATCTCAAAGCCTGATTGGTCAATATAAAACATTTGAAACGACATTTTTATTCCAAAGCCACCTCAAACTACAATTAGGGGATCCCTATCAACACTAGAAACGATAACATTGACCGAATTTTGGAAAATATCGATTAAGTGTCTCTGGAAACGCCCCAAAAACCCCCGTTCGGAATTACTATGTTCGGTTAGAATGACATGTACCCCATTTTGGGTGGCATCTAGGACTTCATGATGCGACATTTCACCAGTTAGGTACAAATCGGCGTTAAGCCCCCTTAAAACTGAAGCCCCTGAGCCGGCACACAGCCCCACAGTTTCAATTTTCGAATCTGGAAATTATTTCATAAAAAAAACAACAAAGTGGGCGTGGCGTGGCGTAACTTACACAAAGTCTTGTTTCTAGCCAATGCCAGTCTGAGATTCCTCACTCCGACATGTTTTTTGACATTTGTGACGGCATTTTCTAGTGTAATGGGCGTGGCTAGTGTAAGAATACGCCCTGCCCCTTGTCTCGGGTTTTCCAACGGTTTGATTGGTTCAATCGATTTGTAATCGAAAGCTGAGGCGAGCCAATCGTTAACGCCCCCTTCGATGCAATCCCACGTGGTATGGGGCGAAAAAACCGCAATTTCGTGTTTTATACACTGAATTACGATTCGTTCTTTCCAAGTCCTGTGACAAAACGATTAGTTTTGATTGGTTGAAATTTGAAACGTACTTATCGGAGACTGTTTTAAGGCCTTGGAATATATTAGGGTGGTATGAGATAATGAGCCCTGCTTGGAAATTTTTAGCTTCATTGACCACATCCTCGGTGAGGTCATTTGTTAATAGAATTGTTTTGACATGTTTGTCGGTCATTGGGTCGACGAGGAGGCCCACATTGTCCCAATTTTCGGCAAGATTTAAGGGGGCAAACGACTGGAGAGTCTTGACGATGTCTTTGACCGACATTTGGGGCCCTGTAGTGTAATTTTTAATCCGGTTTAGACCCACGAGACGTCTTATTAACATCTGCGAAATAAAAAACAAATTGTGAAACATTTAATTTTATTCAGGGATAAATTTCCACAATTTAATTTCCCCATCGTCGCTACAAGACACTAAAATGTCACTTAGGATGGGGTTCCATGCCACGCAATTGACGTCTTGGGTGTGGGCCCGCTGTATGCACGTCACTTGACTGAAAGTGGGGGCCCCTGGGGTGCACCCTTGATCCTCTTTAAAAATTCTGATAGCGTCGTCACCGCAAGCCGTGGCGATTAAGTCACTTGTGGGGTTCCAGGACACGTCATAAATGGTTCTATTGTGGTACCCTGATATTGTACACACACATTTCCACGTTTCGTCATCGGTGATAACCCCCTCAGTGTTTCCGGGTTTGAACTGTTGCCAGATTTTCAAAGTGGCGTCGTCGCTACACGAGACAAGTCTTGTCCCCGTGGGGCCCCAACTGAGACTCCAAACGGTCGATTCGTGTCCTTGCAACGTCGCAAAACAGACCCAATCGTTGTCTGATTGGTCCTCTTTGAATAGTTTCACTGTGTTGTCGTAGGAGGCCGAGGCGAGGATGTCTTCCTGTGGGTGCCACACGACCTGTAATAACCCCCATTGTAACATTGTAATAAAAATAGCCCCCTTGTACTACCTTCTTCACGTCTTGGGTGTGTGCACTCAACACGGCCGCACAGTCGTACTCGTCCTCGTCGGCGATCTCCCAAATCCACACTGACTTGTCTCGACTGCAAGTGGCCAAAAAGCGCCCCGATTTCGACCAAGACACGCTCTTAACCTCGTTTTCGTGCCCCTCGAGTGTGGCATTGCACTCGAATTCGCCCGATTTCTTATCCCAGATGCAGGTGGTGGTGTCGAAGGAGGCCGAAGCGAGGTAGTTGCCACAGGGGGACCATGCAACCTCCCGAATTGTGCGTGTGTGGCCATCAGTGAGAATCACCTTGTTTGACCATTTCGAGTCGGAGTCTTTCAACCAAATCCGGATAGTCTTGTCTTCGCCACACGACGCGAAAGTCTGGCCTTTGGGGTGCCAACTGACGTCCCATACGCGTCCCGTGTGCTTTGATAAAGTCTGAAGGGGCTCCAGTTTTGACATTTGAGGTTAGGGTCAGCGAGCGACAAAAATGGGGGTTAAATTGGGGTTTTGTAAAGGGAAAAGGGGCCAGAAATGCGTCTGAAAGGCTTACCAATGAGTAGTTTGCGATAAAAAGTGAGGAAAAGCGTTATTTGCGACTTAACTTGTTTGGGTTGGTACGACTGTTGAAGCAAGGTAGCCAACCTGTATCACTCCTGTCGTTTTATTTAATATAAAACTTGTTTTTTGTGATTTTTTAATAATGACAAAGTTGGGTAAATCCCAAACCGCTGTTAGTTCTTGCACGTTTTATTATTTGTCTATTAAATTAATATTTCTTCTTGTTTAGAATCAAACTTGCGACGTTGCCACATTATACATTTACATTTTTGGGTTTTGAGTGCCACAAGACGGACAAGTGGGACCCCCTTTTAGTCCCTACTTAATTAAATTGCAAATTTTAAATAAGTAATTTGTGTTAAAAACAAGAAAACACATAATTTGTTTTAATTTCTTTGGGTTGGTGCGACGTAGCCAATTTGTGTCGTAAAAATAAAAAAAAACATGTTTTTGTGATTATTTACTGTTAGGGAAAACCCGAACTGATCTTAATTTATGTATGTTCATTATTTGTCTATGAAATTAATATTTTTCTTGTTTTTTTTTTTTTTCAAATTAAACTTGCAACGTTGCCACATTGTATTCATATTTTTGGGTGTAGAGTATCACGGGACGGATGTATGGGGCCCCCGATCTGTTTATTTCATTTTCTAAGGCCTCATCTCACTTCAATGGAATTTTTTAATTTTTAAAATTGGTGTTTTTGTCAAGTGTCAGTGTTGCCAACCACCCCCCATTTGACGTTTACATTTTTTGTGTCGTGTTTCACAATCCTACTTTGTTTACCAAAACAATTCAATTTTTGCCCCCCTTGGGACACGTAATTCGCCCCCGGGCCCCCAAACCCCTCATTACGATGAACAATGTTACAGTTTTGGAAAAAATCAAAAGGTGCGTAATTCGTAATTCGTTTCATTCTTCCTAATTTCCTGTCTTTGAAAAGCCGACAATGACAGGAGTATAGCCCCCCCGGTGCCGCCACGGCCGCCCCCGCGAGCGCCCCCTTTGAACCTCTCCGGCCTTGTGGACATTGGTGAGTAGAAAAACTAGAGAGAAAATGGGGTCATTGTGTCTTAAAGATGAGTTTGAGGCGACGAGATCACGACTGTGTCGCACCTTGGACGAGGTCTTGGCCGATAAGGGGGCTTTGGGGCACTTCACCCAGTACATGGAGTCGCGAAATGCCTCCAAATACGTCACTTGTTGGTCCGAAATCGAGTCTTTCAAGTGCGAAATCGCGAGTGAATCTAGTCCCGTGGAGGGCGCAGTCTCAATCTTCAAGAAATACATCGCACAGGAGGCCCCCCACAACGTCAAATGCCCCGATTTAATCCGCAACGAACTGGTGGAAAACATCTGCGATTTGGAGAAAATCGCCGATTGTTTAGCCCCCGTGCAAAATTTCGTCCTCGAAGTGATGGAAAAGGAGTACTTTGGGGCGTTCCTCGCCAGTGATTACTTCTGCAAGTACCAAATCGATGTCTTGACCAGTGGACAAGTGGCCCTCGAAGACATCCTCTACAACGAAACGGCGCTTTTCTACTTCATGGAGTTCCTCGAACAGGAGAATTCTTGCAGTTTATTGGAGTTTTGGATCGCTGCAACCAACTTGCAGCAACATTTGACCACCCAAAAGGAGTTTTTCGACCCGGTGGAGGCCCAAAACGACGCAGTCGTCCTCTACGACAAGTATTTCTCGCTGCAGGCCCATTGCCCCCTGGGGTTCGGGGACAGAGTCCGGTTCGAAATCGAGCAGAATATTTGTGGGGAAAATGGGCTTGTTTTGGACTGTTTCAAGCTACCCTTGAAAATTGTTGAACAAGTCTTGGAGAAAAACTACCTGAAGCCCTTTTTGGGGTCCCAATTGTTTTGCAAGTACTTATCAGAGTTGATAAATACCGTGCAATCGAACGACTATTTCAATATTGAGAATAATCGGACTTTGTCGTCGGATTGTAGCAGCGAGAGGAGTTTTAGTACAAATAGCGCGTTTCTAGCACTTGAAATGAATTTTAATAATAAAAAGAAGGATAAAAACGCGGATATGAGTATTGATACGAGGCTGTTGTGCGATCCTGATTCCCTCTGGAAGAGGAGAAGGACGCATAGATTGTCGTGTGGAAGAATCACAGCTTTGGGGAAATTTGAAACTGATTTGGAGCCTGAACCTGATAAAAAAAGTTTCAAGTTTCGGAATGTTGTTAAGAAGTTTGTGAGTTTGGATGAGGATAAGAAGAAGGAGGAAATGGCGTGGCAAGTGGCCGAAATGATTGTCAAAGATATTACGAATGTTACTCTAAATCAGGAAAAACCGAGATCGTCATTGTGATAATAATATCAGAGCTCAAAGTATTCGAGTAGAGAGTGATTTCCACTTTTTTCAAAGGCTGTGTTTCCCCCCCGTGCGTTTATGTTGGTAGCACTGCGATGGTCTGTAGGTTAGTCATTAGCTTGGATTTTATTATTTTTGTATGAATGCATTTGTTGTAAATACTTCTTTAGTGTATAAACATATTTATATATTAAAATATTTTAACAAGGGAAGGGTTTGGAGTGCAACCTTGAAACGCCAAAATCACCAAATTTGAAAAAAACAAAATTTATTTTTAACTTTTACATAGTTTTGGTTTAAATATAGCAAAACGATTGTTTATTGCAAGTTAAACAGTTTTTCTGATTTATAGTTTAAAAATATCAAAGTATGAAGTAAGGTTATGACGTCACTGTTGTGAAATTTTCGTAATTAATTCCATATTATTTAATGAAAAGGGAACTGTTTTCAAATTGTCATGTTTTTGGTTATTAGAAACGAAATACGGTTTCTTGCAAAAAACACACTAAAGTGCTGCCAACTGTTTGACAAAAATTACCAAAAGTGGTGCTTTCTTTGCTCATTAACTTGTAAATTACTCCTATTTTTTGTATTTGTGTGTGAATAATGTATAAACATCTTTGCATACTAATTTTTTTAACAAGTTGCGAATTTTGAATGCAAGGTGGCAAACCTTGAACACTAAAGTTACCAAACAATTTCAAGCGTAATTTTGAAATATTTATTGTACAATTCAATTAAAATTGAGATTTTGACGTGATTTTTACTATAAAGGGCCAAAAACTAGGTATTCCTTACAAACTTATTCAATGTTTGTGAGGTTATGTCAACACTTTCATTGTGATCAATCAATTTCATGGGCTATTAGAAACAAAATACGTTTTTTACAGAGAAAAACTGAGAATGTCACGACTTTTTAGACAAAGAACACACTAAGTTGCTGCCAACTGTGTGACAAAAATTATTTTTTTAACAAGTTGCGAATTTTGAACGCAAGGGTGGCAAACCTAATTTTAAAATTTGTTTAAAATAAGTACCTATTATACAATTCCAGCCTATTAAAATTGGAATTTTGACGTGATTTTTTCTAAAATGGGCAAAAAAACACTGTATTTATTCTTTGCAAACTTATTCAATTTTTGTGAGGTTATGTCAACACTTTCATTGTGTCGTTGAATTGAAAATTAGTTTTTATTATCTACTTCGGGCTACTAGAAACGAAATACGTTTTTTTACAAAGAAAAACGGAAATTGAAATTTTATCATATTTTTATTTTTGTGCGAATTTGCTGCCAACTGTGCGACAAAAATCACCAAAAGCGGTGTTGTAACCGTCCATTTCGAAACTGGTTGGCCAAAAACAAAAACCCTGTCAATGTCAATAATAATTTATTCCAATTTGGTGTAGAAAACAATTCAATTGGCAAAAACTCAGCTACCATCCTGGAATGTCAATATTGATTATTTTTAAACACGTAGAAGTTTCCCCTTAGTGCTTCTTCTTTTTTTTGCTTACTTGTCTCCCCGGATAAGCAAAAATCAACACCAACTGGACGAAACACAACACGAACCCGGCCACATTTTGAACCTTGAACCAAAAAATGAACAATTTTCACACAATTAATTCAATTACTGACAAGCATGAATTGATTCTGTAGAATAATGGCGTACAAAAGCCACGAGAAGGTCACCAAAGTCGCCATTAGAGTCAAAACAAAGGGGATTTCAGACGCGTCCTTTTTCTCAATCATTTCTTTCTGTAATAAAAGTGTGAGAGGATTTTACATGGGGGTTTCATTACGCACAACTCCGAGAAGGGGGCTTCCCAGTACTGCAAGCATCAGGATTGTGATAATCAACCCGTAGCGGAACTCCACCACTGAGGGGCTCTCGTACTCGCAATAGCCCCACAGAGCCGCCACGAAGGCCATACTTATCGAAAGGGGCTTCAGGATTTGCCTCCACTTGTCTGTGGAGTAAACGTAGTATACAACACAGTAAATCACATTGAGAACAATGGCAAAAAAGTTAACTAAAAGCATGTTTTCGTCTTGGAGCATCAACCCGTATTTCAGCATCGCAAGACCTCTAAAAATCTCAATTAATTTATTTATAATTACTACAAAAGTCAACTTACAACATGATACCGCCCACAAAGGGCATGGAATTCACCCCCTCCGTGTTGCCCTTTTTGTAGATGTCTCTACAGATGAAAGCCCCCGAGAAAAATTGGAGTATTGTTAGGTAACTCGCGACTGTCCCCACGACGTTTTTGTAGGGCTGCAGGGCCTTCGAAAGCGCCTCCATTGCGAATTAAACACCTGAAATTGCAACTTAAATTAGACTGAAATATGAAACTGAAAAATGCTGATTAGAAATGTGACACGAATTGAAAATTCTCCATGGTTATTGCAAAAATTAACATACAGTGTGGCAAAAGTGGTGTTTGATTAATAACACTGAAGGTTGATTGAGGTCAAACTCATTTGAACCCCTTTTTTTTAATTAAAAAACAACAGGAAATTAGTAAATTACTTGCCTTTTACGAAAACAGGTATCTAAATGCGATGTTTTATTATCTAATCGCAATTTACTGCGAGCCTTGAACAAATAAAAAACAAATAAATTATAACAAAATTTTAATTTTCGAAACGAAAAGTCAATTAAGTAATGGTTTTATTGAGATTTTGACAGTCATGCTTGTTTTACAGTTATCTTTTAATCACGTCCTTGGGTGTGACCTTCGCCCCTTTAACTGCTCCCCCAATTTCTAACCTCACTTTTTGTCATGTGTCAACCTAACCTCAAATTTATCACGATGTTTTATTTTTTACTGATTTCGCTAAAATATCGCTGATAATTCATTAAATTCACAATTTGACTAATAAAAATTGCGTTTATTGATACACAACTTTGAAAGTGGTGTTTTCGGTGTAAAAATGTGAATTTTTATGTTAGAGTCAAGGTAAAAACGTTTTTTCATTCATTTGCAGCATTGGATAATTAATTTGTAGGTGAAGTTGCGAGAAGACAGGTTTTATAGGAAAAAACGATGGATTTGTGGAATGCAAAAAATTTGAAACCCCCACCCATCATTAGTTGCAAAATCAGCATCAAGGAAATAGGTAAAATTCGTATTTTTTTTAGTGTTTTGGGGCATATTCGTTGTTTTTTTAATATAAACGTAAAAAAATTAAAATGAGGTTATGTCACACCAATTGAGCGAATTTTACGATAATTGGACAAGTTTTTAGTACCAAGTAAGAAGAAATGTTTGTTTTTTAATTTTTTAACAAATTTTTACATAATCGTTATATAAAACAAGTTTTTTTTAACAAAAAAGACATCGAACAAAATTGAGGTTATGTCATTCTTTTTTTGGAATTTTACATAATTTCTCAATTCATTATCTTGTATTTTCCAAAATAATATTTTGTGGTGACACTGTGACTCATTTTTAGTAATCGAGAACCCAGTTCTAGTTTTTTTGGGCCTGAAACAGTAAATGTGAGGTTGTCAATTTTTTTTCCAAATTTGAGACAATTTTCAATTAATTTCGCTTCTAATATTACAAAGAATTAGTTCTGTTTTCCAAGAAATGCAAAATTAGTGTTTGTGGACATATTCGTTGTTTTTTTGAATATAAACGTAAAAAAATAAAGTGAGGTTATGTCACACTAATTGAGCGAATTTTACGATAATTGTACAAGTTTTTAGCACCAAGTAATAACAAACGTTTGTTTTTTAATTTTTTAACAAATTTTTACATAATCGTTTTATAAAACAACAAGCATTTTTTAAGAAAAAAGATGTCGAGTTAGAAGTGAGGTTATGTCATTCTTTTTTGGAATTTTACTTAATTTCTTAATTCATTATCTTGGTTCTTGCAAACTAATACTTCGTAGTGATTCATATTTAATAATTTGGAATGCAAGTGTAATCTTTTTGGGCCTGAAACACTGAATCGTAAATGTGAGGTTATGTCACTTTTTGAGACAATTTTCAATTAATTCCGCTTCTAATATTACTAAAAATTTGCTGTGGTTTGGATTTTGTTTCATATAACTAGATAATACATAATTGGGCTTTTTTATTTTCTATTTTTTTGAATTTCTTAGATATTCGCCTGTTGAAAATCACACTAACCGACGCCGTGGAGTTCTTCGAGAGCCAGCAGCACCTCAGCGTGGAGGCAGCCCTCCTCTCGCGCACCGTCTACCGCCTCAAAATGAAATTTCGCTCCTCAAAAGACTTCAAAGCCGTCGAGAAACTAAGCCGTGTTTTGCGCACTTATCTCCAAATGCAGTTCGCCACGACCCTCAAATACGTCCTTGACACGATCCCCCCGAACTACAAAGTCCTTAAGACGTTTTTCCTGACCAAAAACATGATCGATTTCCTCCTCGTCCGAATCCAGGGCTTGGGGAAGACTCTGTGTCGCGTTTTGGACACTTGCAAGGTGGTTTCGGAGCTGACCTTGCAGAGGTTTCGCTTGGGGCACTTTTGGAAAATCGCCGCGATCATTTATGCAATCACAGCGCGGATTTTCGTCATCACTCGAGGCATTTTTCGGTTTGTTTGCGAGCTGTATGGGACTTTGTTGCCGTTTTCGGGGACTTTGAACAACACGGGGACGGTGTGGTTGCCCGAGGGGTACGTTTTCCCCCCCAAATTGGAGGAGTGGCTGGGGGCGGAGTGGCTCAATTTGGAGGAAAACGTGATTGAGATTCCTGATGATGAGCCAAGCGCCGCCTTCTTCAAGTTAATGGACGATTCTGAGGATGAGGTGGAGTTTTGCGACGAGTATATTGTCGTAAATGACGAACCCTCAATTGAGGAAATCAGAGATTCCGATGTGGAGGTGTGTGGGGAGGAGGATGAGGTTGATGTGGGGGAATTGGTCATTGTTTGTGAAAATAAAGAAAAGGCAAAGAGTTGGGACAGTAATGAGGAAGTTGATGTCGGGGATCTTGTGATAGTTTGCAACAATTCGGAAAATTGCAAGAAAAACGAGAAAAGGAGTGTGAAACGCAAGGGAAGCTCAAGTAGTTTAATTGTAATCAATGACAGCGAGTCAGAGATCGCAAATCAGAATGAACCCAAACGCAAGAAGCGGAAACGCAACCGCAAGAGGCAAATGAATGCCTAAATTACCAAATGTGTATTTTTCACAAATAAAATTCATTTTTGTTAATCGTGTTTGAAAATCGCGCCTGCGCACAGTTCCAATTTGTTCAGGTGTGTCAACCTCAAATACCAAAATGCACTAGATTCTGAAACTTTTTAAAAGTGACATAACCTCACTTTTGAATCGACTTAAATTAAACAAGCCTCACATTGTGTATTAATCATTAAAATTGACTGCACTGAGTCCAAGAGAGCTTGTTTTTTCATTAATGGGTGGCCAAAAATTACGAAAATGTCATTTTATTTGAAATTTTGCATTTTTTTTTCCAAACGGTAACACAACACAATTTTTTTAGTCAGTGTTAAGTTTAAATAAAATAACTACTTACCTTATTTGGGGTTACGTCGCGGGGAAGTCCCTAAAACTGTGACTCAATTGCTAGCCATTGACTTAATATTCGAACTAAATCACAAATTTTAACAATTTTTATGGTAAAACATAAAAAATTGACCCATTTGCAAGAAATAAAGCCTTAATTGATTAATTTTGTCATACGAATATATATATAATTACACAATTTGATTAATTTTTGTCGGGTTGGTGTGTAAAACAGCTACCAACATTTAGTGGAAAATAAAATGTCAGTTAAAGTAAAATTAAAATTGTAATAAAATATGTTGGATTTACAGTTAGTAGAGTATGAAGCGGATTATGAACACATAAATATTGATCAAATTTTTTTCCAATTTTAGCTCAGTATTCGTAATTATGTATACCAACTTCCAATTCCAAAACTGACCTGACTTATGAAACATAGTTTTTTTTACAAAAACCGCCACATTATGTATTAATCAATTAAAAATTGCTTTCAATATCCAAAAAAAAACTTGTTTTTTATTGTCAAGCGCGGAAAGATTGAAAAAAATTACGATTGTGTTTCCTAACCTCAATATCACGTAACCTTTTACACTTTTAAGACTGCAAACATTAGAAAGACAATAAAATAACCTATTTTTTTAGTTATTATTAAATTTTAACAAAATAATCCCTTACCTTGTTTGTTGCAGGGAAGTCCCCAAAACGGTATCTCAATTTCCTGCTCTTGACTTAAAAATACTAACTAAATCACCAATTTTAACACTAATCACGGTAAAACATAAAAAGTGGACCCATTTACGAAAAATAAAAACCTTTTTTTTTATTTAATTTTTGTCAAATAATTTAGTGAAAAATAGTACCAACATCTAGTGGCAAACAAAATGTCAGTTAAAGTAAAATTAAACTGTAACAAATTCAGTGGAAGTTAGTTAGTAGAAGATAAAACGGGTTTGAATAAATTAATTAAGTACTTTTTCACTTCTGTCTCATCCACAATTGTCATGTGCACCAACCCCTAATACCAAAACTCACCAGATTTAAATCGACTAAATTTACTCAAATATTTGCAACTACAAGTAAGAGAAATAGCGAATCCCGCCCAAAACCACAACAAACGCAGCCTCCAAATACACTGCAATCAAAATCGGGGCTTTCAAAAAATACAACGGACTCAAAAAATACTCAATTTTGAGAGTTTGCACATAATTATCGAACAAATTCGTCCCGTTGAGGACCACAATCGGACGACCATAAAAGCACAACCCAGTGGGACACCCCGACTCTTGCCCCACAAAATTTATCAGAGACGGCAAATCCACATTACCAACCCTTGAACCTTCGGGGAAAAAAATCCGCACGATTGCATTCTCAATCATCTTATCATTGATAACATAATCGACAGCCCTGATCTGCAACTGGAAAAAATCCCCCAAAACGAACAAAGACTCATAAGTGGGGATTTCATATCGAAGATTGTAGCTAGTTTTCCAGCCCCCGAGAAGGGGGTACCGTGTCTTGTACTTGACCGTCTTGTACGTGCCATAATTGTAGACTTGTGTCTCGGAGCTGTTCCCCAAACTGTCAAAAAACTTGATATTTTCGGCCGAGGCAGGCAAATGGGTGTAGAACCAACTCGTCGAGGCTTTACTCCGGATCTTGGGGAGGCTGTGATAGGGCCCTGTCAACGCAGCACCTGCAACAGCGCATTTACCACCAAGGGGGCCCAAATCCGCCCTACCGTTATTCACGAGCGTGACACAATCCTCGATTGTGATTTTCCCAAAATGATTAACATCGATAATCCTCTCGAGGGAGCGCACCACGACGAACGGGTCATTATTGACGAAAACGAGCACCAAGGAGGCCCTCTCGAGGGGCCCCAAGTCCGTAAAATTGTACACAAGGTGGTCACTTGCAACGAAACTTGCCTCCTGCGTGTGTTCAATCAAGGAATTATTTTTCAAATTGTACCTCCTTGTGAAGACTTTGGTCTCATAAAGTGAGAAAAACCGGACGTTTGTCTCGTATTTCACCACTTGGTCTTCGTCAAATTTCCGTTTTTTCATCATGGGGAGAATCGCATTGGCGTGGATTATTTTCACAAAAAATTTGAATTCTTGTCCGGTGGTAACACTCTCGTTGAGCTTGACTCTCAAACCTTGAGTTGTGGTCACAAAAGCGAGTTTTTTGCCCTTTTCGGTGGAGAAATACACCGAGTGGAGCCCCGATTCAATGGTGTAAGTGTAGGTTTGGGTCGGGGGGCCCTCATTGATAAAAACCACCTCGTTCAATTCGTAAACCAATTGATTGGTTAACTCAACAGTTGAGTGCACTTCTAAATTAACAATTCCTGACGAAATCACCGAAATTAGCAACAAAAACACGAAAAAACGCAACATTGTGAAAATTGACAGCTTGTGACTAGATTTTTACTTGAAATGACAGCTTGTGACTAGATTTTCATTTATTTACCTAAACTTGGCTAAATTTTTCTCTAAACTCACTCTAAAGGCTAAGAAAAGTAGCGCAAAATTGCGTTTGTACCACTCTAGGTTGTAGTTGAGATGAGTCTCCCAATTCTGGTCGAGGAAACTCTTGTAAAAACCGCTCATTTCCTCCGCCGTTAACTGTCGCGTTTCGCCGGTGCTTTGCCCCAATTTCACAAACTCTTGCCGCTTCTGAAACCCAAAATTACTAAAATTACCATCAAAAAATGATAATCACTTTAATAAAGTTGGTGTTGTGTTTGGCCCAAAACTCCTGATTCCAGGCCTGCGTCGCGTCCTGCATTTGTCTCAACTGGCGCTGGAGGGGCGTCTCGTCGCGGAGACATTTGCGGATGATGGGGCGCAGGTTCGAGAGCGGGTCGGGGGGCCCGATGAGGTCCACGTCGTCGCTTTCGGACACGACGATGACCGGCTCTTCGAGAGACTTCTCGATGAAGACTGGGTGGGACTGGGAGCTTCTTTTACTGGAAAAAATCCGAATTATTCGAGAAATTAACAAGAGTGGGGTACCTTGAGGTTATGTCACGGGTCAGCACCTAAAAAGCAAAATTTGGTAAAAAGAGTGGTTGTGCAACGTGGGAAAAGACTTACAGTGTCGGTTGCGTATAAGGGTCTCAAAATTTGGGGCTGCAAGCCCCGTTTTGAGAGAGTTTTCAACATTGTTACATAACCTCAAATGTCAGATTCAAATGTGCGCATGCGCGATCCAAATTTAAATATTTTATTTTTCTAAAATACTATTTGTATTCACTAACTAGAACACCGAAACTTTGGGGTTTTAGCCCAATTTGTAATTACAAATATTTAAATAAAAGTTGTTCGATTAAAAAAAAAATTCGAAATCTGGTAAGTTTTGGACTTAGTGGTTGGTGCACTTGACAATTAATTATTTAAATGAGATAAAACTGAAAAATTATTTAATCATTAATCAACATCAATACCGCTTATTCATACTCTACTAACTTCCACCAAATCGTAAACACAGCGTATTTTATTACAATTTAATTTTACTTTAATTAACATTTAATTTTCCACTAAATGTTGGTAGTTGTTTTATCACTAAATTAAACACCAACCTGAGACAAAAATTAGTTGCATATTAAAAGCAATTTTTAATTGATTAATACATAATGTGGCGGTTTTTGGAAAAAAACTATGGTTTCAAAAGTCATGTCAAAATTTTCAAAATCTAGTAAGTTTTGGAATTGGAAGTTGGTATACATAACAATTACGAATACTGAGCTAAAACTGGAAAAAATATTTGATCAATGTGTTCATAATCCGCTTCATACTCTACTAACTCTAAACTCAACGTATTTTATTACAAATTATTAATTAACTTTAACTGACATTTATTTTCCACTAAATGTTGGTAGTTGTTTTATCACTAAATTAAACACCATCCTGAGACAAAAATTAATCGAATTCTGTGATTAAACAAGGCTTTATTTCTTGTAAATGGGTCCATTTTTTATGTTTTGTCGTGAATATTGTTAAAATTTGTAATGTAGTTTGAATTTTAAGTCAAGAATTGAAAATTTTTAGTCACTGTTTTGGGGACTTCCCCGCGACAAAACGCTAAACAGGGTAATTTTTTTTTTTTAATTATTATCTCCTTAAAGTTCAATAAACCGTGTTCCTGTTCTTACCGCTTGAAGCCTTAAAAATGCATAACGTCACGTAATACAGAGGTTATGAAACAAAATCGCTGAATTTTCGAATTTTTTTAAAATTTTCATACTCCGTAATAAAAAACAAGCTCGTTTGGGCTTATTTTAATCGATTTTTAATTAGTGAAAACCATGTTGTGTTTTTTGGAAAAAAAATGTCGATTCAAAAGTGAGGTTATATCAATTTTATTTTTTTAATTGAAATATTTGAAAATTAGTTCTGCTTCTTATAATAAAAAAACAAGTTTTTTTGCACACCTTAACCAATTTTTAATTAGTTAATACATAACGTGGCGTTTTTTTGTGGAAAAAAGTTAATTCAAAATTCAAGAGTGAGGTTATGTCACTTTTCTGATATTGGGGCCTTCCCCCATTAATCTTCACACGGCTCGCAGACGCATTCCAGTTCGTAGTCGCTTTTATAATCGTGGACACCCGCGCAATAGGGGCACACCACCTGCAAAAAAGCCTCGAAAAAGCCCCCAACAATGTCAAGAATTTACATCAGTGCGACCTTGGAATTCATCATCAATTTGTGATTGTTTTTCCTGTAAACAAAGATCCTTGTAGCGGTCTTGAATCTCCTGGTTCTGCGTCCACGTTTTATTAATTTCGTCATAAAGCGTTTGACTAAAAATAGCTCAAGTGAAGGGCGATAATGAGCACTTACATCACTAGTTAAATTACATCAAGTCGTCGAAATTGGTGGTATTTCCGACCGTGTAGACGGACTGGTTGATGGTGATCGACTGGGGGCACAAAATAACGGGGGGTTTCTCCTCAAACGTCCTCAATTTCGACTCGATTGAGTCCTGTCGTGAGGCGATTTCCTGGTACTTCTCCCGGATTTCCTCGATTTGGTCGACGAGAGGGGGCGGTAGCGAGTCGAATTCGCTTTCAGAATCCTGTAAACAGGCCAAAAGTTGCGAATCGCTGTCCAAATTCACTGAAAGGATTCGATTTTCATTTTTCAGGATCTCGATTTCCCGCTCTTGCTCCTCGTTCCTCTGGAGGAGATTCTGGTAGCTCAATTGCAACTCTTTTATCACACTTGTGATAAAACTCTTGTTCTTGTTCAAGTCGCACAAGAACTGGTCCTTGATGAAGGCCAAATCCCTCTCCAATTGATTCAAACACCCGGATTTCAGCTCCAAGTCGCGGGTTTTCGCGATTTGGGGGTCCGAAGACACCATTCGCGAGTGGTACTTATTTTTGCATTTTTTGCTTTTGATTTGCTTCTTCGGGGAATGGGAGTTGTAACTCGAGGTTTTGCGCAAAGTGCTCTTGTGGACAAAGCGTTCGATGTAATCGGTTTGCGATTTGGTGGCTTGCAGGGGAAACTTGAATTTGCAAGTGCAACAATGGGAGGAGCTTTCGGTCAACTCCAATTCGAGTAATTTGGTGTTGAGTTCGTTCAAAGGGAGGAGGAAGTCGGAATTGTGCGCTTGCAAACGCATTTTTACGGAAATTTTTCAACAGAAAAGTCAATTTTGACGTTTGAAACTTTATTGAAACGCAACTAACAACTACCACAACTGCATTCCTCGAGATAGGCGTCGCTGGAGTCCCCGAAGTTGCTCTGCACACGCAATTCCTGAAAAAAAACTATTTTATTTACGTCTGTGAAAAAAAATTAGTTGGCAACATTGATTGACAAATAAACGGTGTTTGCAACACTGACTTATTAGCTGGTCTGACGTTTGATTTAATCAAGGTTGTCACCTTAAAATTTCAAATTATAGTTGGCAATAATGAATTTTATCTAATTTGAAGTTTGACAATAAAAACATCAGAAAGGCAAGGCTTTTAATTAAATTTCTCATCAAAGTAGGCGTGATTCTAAAATGAATGAATGATAAAACAAAGATTTGACAGACAAAATACCGTTTATGTTGGCGATACTGATTGGCATAAATAAATTCTATTGGCAACACTGACTTATTGATTTCATTTGGTGGTCAAGGTTGCCACACCATGATGACAAAAATTTAAAGTAGTCTGAGATTCTAAATTAAGTTTGCAATACTGAATCAAAAAGAGACAGAAATATGTCTCATAATATCTTCTATCTTTACATCATAGGTAGACGAATACTACGTGGTCATGAAGGATATTTTAATTTGGCAATAGTGAATTTTCTTTGACATTTGACACTTCGAATGTGATCTAAATTGTGACAATAAAAACGTCAGAAATGCCACGTTTTTAATTAAATTTCTGATCAAAGCGCACTGTGATTCTAAAATTGAACAAAGACAGAAGATATTTGTATTTGTCGGCTTCCCAAGAACGACGGTTTATGTTGGCAATACTGAATTCTATTTTTAAATGATATAATTGAACTTTTCGTTATTGACAAATTGACAATTGAGATAATTTTTTTTTTATAGACAATTCAAACACATAACCTACAATCTAGTTACGTCAAATATTTAGTTAAGTGTTGAAAACAGCTGAATAAGAAACTTTTATTGCCAAACAATATTTCAAACAATTGAAATTTCAAGCTTGTCCTTATTTTTTGTTAATAAAACAATTTTTTTATTAGAATAATAATTTTTATACTTAAAAGTGAAAAAATGTTGTCAACTATGTGGCAAAAAAAATACCAGACATTTCCACGTTTTGTTGCCAACTTAAAGAATTACATCATTTAAATGCAAAAACAAATTAAAAACATCATCTATATTCTTGTTACGTTAAATATCCAGTTAATGTGACAAGAAAATTTTGTTGCCAACTCAAACGTTGTTAGGAATTTTAAAATTCTGCTTTTTTTCGTTAATAAAAACATTTTTTTTTATTAGAATAATGATTGTTATATTTAAAACAATTTTCTAATAAAGCGAAAAAATATTGCCAACTATGTCAATCACTAGAAATTTCCACAGTATTGTTGCCAACCCAAGAAACACATTAAACACATAACGTATAATCTTGTTGCGTCAAATATTCAGTTACAGTGTTGCAAGCGACCGAATAGAAAACTTCTGTTGCCAACTCAAACCATTATCAGAAATTTCAAAATTTTCAAAATACTACTTATTTTTTGTTAATAAAATATTTTTTTAGTAGAATAATGATTTTTATATTTTAAAAATTGACTAACAAAGTGAAAAAAAATCACCAGAAATTTCCACAGTTTTATTGCCAACCCAACAAATGACATTATATAATTTCAGAAACAATTTAGACACATAATTTACAATCTTGTTACGTCAAATATTCAGTTACAGTGTTGCAAACAGCCGAATAACAAACTTCTGTTGCCAACTCAAACCATTATCAGAAATTTCAAAATACTACTTTTCTGTTAATAATTTTTTTTATTAAAAAAATTGACTAACAAAGTGAAAAAACGTTGCCAACTATGTTGCAAAAAATCACCAGAAATTTCCACACTTTTATTGCCAACCCAACAAGTGACATCATATAATTTCAGAAACAAATTCTGTTGCCAAACCACCATCAGAAATTTCAAAATTTTGCTTATTTTTTTTTTTGTTAATAAAATATTTTTTTTATTAAAATAATGATTTTATATTTAAAAAATTGACTAAAAAGTAAAAAAAAATGTTGCCAACTATGTCACTATCATCACCAGAAATTTCCCCAGTTTTGTTGTCAACTCAAAACCGGCTTTATTTTATTTCAAAAACAATTTAAAAACATACCCTATAATTTTGTACGTCAAATATTCAGTTACAAATAAGAAAGTTCTGTTGCCAATTTAAACGACTATCACAAATTTCAAAATTCTGCTTTTTTTCATTAAAAAAAATAATGATTTCCGTATTTCTAAAAATTGTCTTATTCTTAATCTTTTTTTTGGAATTATGATTCCCAAAAAATTAATGAACGATCTATTAAGTGAAGAAGTTTAGCCAACTATATTGCAAAAAATCACCAGTTCTGTTGCCAACTTTTAAAGACGAAAAAAAAAGTTGAAATCTTAGAAAATCTAATAGGAAAAAAATTGAGGAAAAAAAGTCGGTTTTCGTTGTTATTTAATGATTGCAAATAAATTTCATTTGAAAAAAATGTCGATTTCTCATTAAGATAACTTCACCTTTGACCTTATAATCGACACGCAATTTGAATACTCACTTGCAACTGTTCAGCCAATGCCCGTTTTTCATTTAAGGTCGCCTGAAATTGGTCTCGGAGTATTTTTAGCTGATTACAAGCATAAATCAATGCTTTTTCTTTAGTATTAAGGGTGCATTGCAATCCACAAATCTCGCGATTTTGTGTCAAAATTTGCTCATCTTTCGACAACCCCTTCTCGATTTCTTCATACAGAGCCGTACTGGAAACAAAACAAAATAAAAAAAACTAAAAAAATAACTAATACATAATCTCTTGGAGTTCTTGCGTCAGGTTCGCCGAGCAAACCTCACTACACACCACATTGGTCGACATCTTCATCTCAACCAGTTTCTCCTGCAGTTGCACCAACTTATTCTTCATCCGGTCTTCATTCTTCACCAACAACTCGATTCGTTTGTCTTTGGAGGCCAATTCAGCTCTTTGACACTCAATTATCTTGTTTTTTTCCTCAATGGTGGTCCTCAAATCGGCCATTTTCCCACAATCTTCACTCTTACACAAGAGGGTTTGCCTCAAATCGACTAGTTCGCAAACCAGATTCTTCTCTTTCTTCTTCTGCATTTCTAGTTCGTCAGTTCTGTCACTAATTAGACACTGTTTAAGGGGGCGATTACCTGCATTGACACAAATCTTGAACCGATTTCAGTTTCTCGTTGACGTTTTTGTACTGTTGCAACAATTTGAGGAATTTTTTTTCGATTCCAGTGGTTTGCGAAATTTGGGTTTTTAGTTCGTCAATGGCGGAGTTTAAGTCGGAGATTTGGTGGGTTTTTTGGTGCATTTCTTCAGTGAAAGTTTTGGTTTTTTCGTTCAAGTCTTCTGCAAGGGCAGTGGCCTCCTAAACGGGGCTTTTGAGAGGTCAAGCTTTGCACAAAGTTGCGTACCTGGTGGGCGGCTTCGATCTCCATCATGGCTTGGTGTAATTGACTCTCCAACTCCTCAACTGTCTTAATCAATCTTTGGTTCAATTCCTTCAATTTGGTCTCGTTTTCTTTGGTTTTTTGGTAGTTTCTCATCAAATTTGCGTATTTGGCGTCTCTTTCGGCGATGGATTTCGACAGTTGTTTCGTCGAGTTGGTCATTTCTTGGTATTCGTGGCTTTTTTCCTTGATGCAACGACACACTTTCTTCTTGCTTTCTTCCATGATTTTTGACTTGTCCACCAACTCTTTGAAGAGCGAATTCAGCTCGTTTAGGTCGGTTTTGCTCTGGTGTTTCGACTCCAAGGCGAGGTTTTTTCGTGTTAATTCTTCGATTTCCCGTTCTTGGTTTTGGCTCTTCTCCAGCAAGCTTTTGTAGCGAATTTCCAGCTCGTTGGTGACGTTTAAGGCCTCGTCGCGGTTTTGTGTCAAAATCGTCAGTTGGTCTTTGATCGTTTTCAGGTCTTGTTTCAGCTGTTTGACACTTTCAGGGTCCATTTGCGGCTTCCCCTGAAACTAACAAGTCAAAAAAGTGGCAAAAACTAGAGCTGAAACAACATTTCTTGGTGTTGCGTTTTGTTTCTTGGTTTTATTTCTGATTATTTTTGAATCGGATGATGCGTTTTTCGAGTCGCATGCGCAGCATTTTCTACTGCCATTTGACGATTTGCTTGCACTGCGTGGGTGGGAATTTGAGCGTTTTTTGGGGGCTGTAACTGAGTTTTTGTTATTTTTGGGTGTTTTTTTTTTCTTTGGTGTATACCTTGAGTTGGGGTTTGGTCGACGAAGAAGTAGTGGGTTTTGGGGGGCGGACACTTGGATGGGGTGCTTGGGGGGCAGGGTGGGGACGGGTTACAAGGGGTTTTTACCACCGGACAAAACATTTCTGCCAATTGCAAAAATCAAATTTGGGTTAATCGAAGGCTTGGCTTTACCTGGGTTTTACATACTTGGAATTTTGAGGGGGCACGTGATTGAGATTATTTTGACATATTCTAGGACGTTTACTGGACTTGTCAAGCATTTAGGTGCAATCTTGATTTTTTTTTTGAAGAAAAAATTCCAAATATCAAAAAATAGGAAGAAAGAAGACATTTTTGGAAAATAAAATAAGCAAATTACAAAATAAACTAAATAAAAATATTGAAAAATGTGTATCATTAAAAAAAAATAAACACAAAAAAGTGATTAAATTGTTGATTTTCTTCCTAAAAAAATTGATCACTTGTAGTCGACACCCTATATATGGAAATGACGTAATTCCCTCAAACGATGTGTCAAAGTAGTATTTACATTGTTAAAAAAAGATTTGAGAAAAATTTGAGTCAAATCGTGTATTTTTCACATTTTCAAAGAAAATTGAGTAACTTGGCAACACCGCATTCAAAAGAAGAAAAATTTTAATACGGTCTTGGTATACGTATATGTAATAAAACGCCCAGTATATTGAAGGCTAAATGTATTTTTATTAATAAAATAGAAACTAGAATTGAGATTAATTTTTGTCAGGTTGGTATTTGTATTTTTACTTGAAAGAAAAGTTTTTATTATGATTACAAAAAACTATGTTTAAAAATTAGATTTTATTCGTGTCAGCTTAATATTTGTGAAATTTATTTATTTGGCAAGTTGGCAACAATTTGAAATATTGTTGCCACAATTTAGCGAATTTGAACCTAATTTTCCTAAATCTTTTTTTAAGTTTCCAAAAAAAAAATATTTTTTTACAACAAAGTGCTCATATTTAATTGAATTTCTGATCAAAGTGGCCTGTGACTAGAATTGAAATGACAAACTTCATATCTTCTGTTCCTAATTGCCAACTTAATCTCATAGTCATAGGCCTCTTTGATCAGAAAAATCTTTCCGCTTTTTTCTATTTATTTGTGATAGAATGGCTTGTAATTAGAATTTAAATTGGCAACATTATAAAACAGACAAAGATACAAAAATTAGCAAACCTCATATTTTCTGTCTCTGTTTCTAGTTGCCAACTTAATTTCACAATCACAGGCCACTTTAATCAGAAGCATCAGAAAAAAGTACATACCTGATCAAAGTGGCCTATGAATAGAATTAAATTGGCAATATTAAAAAAATATATTTTCTGTTCCTAATTGCCAACTTAATGTTATAGTCACAGGCCCCTTTGATTAGAAAAATCTTTCTATTTTTTTATTTATTTTTGTAGAATTAAATTGGCAACATTATAAAACAGACAGAAGATATAAAAATTTTTATGTTCTACCTCTTTTTCTGGTTGCCAACTTAATGCCATAGTCAGACGCTACTTTGATCAACATTACAAAAAATTTACTTTTTTCTATTGACTCTTGATGTGACCTGTGACTAGAATTAAATTGGCAACTTCTAAAAATAGAAACAAAAGATACGAAGATTGATAAGCCTAATGTCTTCTGTCTCCGTTTCAAGTTGCCAACTTAATTTCATTCACAAGCCACTGTGATCAGAAAAATCATTCTGCTTTTTTCAATTTATTTGTGATCAGAAGGGCCTGTGACTAGAATTAAATTGGCAACAATTAATAAACAGAGATGGACGATACGAAAATTGACAAACCATCTTCTGTCTCTGTCCTAGTTGCCAACTTAATTTCATAATCATAGGTTCCTTTGATCGGAAAAATGTTTCCACATTTTTCTATTTATTTGTGATCAGAGTGGCCTGTGATTCGAATTAAATTGGCAACAATATAAAACAGACAGACCTCATAATATGAGGCTTGCCAATTTTTATCTTCTGTCTCTTTTCCTAGTTGCCAACTTAATGTCATAATCATAGGTTCCTTTGATCGGAAAAATGTTTCCACTTTTTTCTATTTATTTGTGATCAGAGTGGCCTGTGATTCGAATTAAATTGGCAACATTATAAAACAGACAGAAGGTACAAAAATTGTCAAGCCTCATGACATGAGGCTTGCCAATTTTTACCTTTTTATCTTGTCTCTTTTCCTAGTTGCCAACTTAATGTCATAGTCAGACGCCACTTTGATCAACATTACAAAAAAATCACTTTTTGATGTGACCTGTAACTAGAATTAAATTGGCAACATTTAAAAATAGAGACAAGAGATACGAAGATTGACAAGCCTAATATATTCTGTCTCTGTTTCTAGTTGCCAACTTAATTTCAGTCACAGATCAGAAAAATCTTTTCACTTTTTTCTATTTAATTGTGATCAGAATGGCCTATGACTAGAATTAAATTGGCAACAATTTATAAAGAGAGATGGAAGATAAGCCTCACATCTTCTGTCTCTGTTGCTAGTTGCCAACTTAATTTTAGTCATAGGTCACTTTGATCTTTTTCAATTTTTCTTCTTTATAGATTTTATTTTTAGTGAAATTAAATAAGTTGCGAATAATTAATGACCAATGCACAAACAATTTACGTTTTTCTCACCATTGAGCATCATTTACAATTCATGACTCACTAATCATCAAACAATTGCAAAAAATCGTAATTTATTTATTTACTAGAAATTTTTTGGATGATCAAATCTTTATTTAGCCTTGATCAAGTCTTTGTTATTATCAGATTTAATTGACGTAATCTTCCCGAAATCACAAACTAATCACTTTTTAATAATTGTATTATTTTTCAACGAAATTTGATTCGTCTTTAACCTTGAAAAAAAAAATACTACACCAATTAGAATTTTTAATTGGCTTTATTGTCCAAGGATATGCAATGTGCATCATTTTTCCTTTAATTAGTGTATTTCTGCACGCTTGACATTTTTTAAAATTAATTACAATTAATTTAATTTAATTTTCTCTACACATTTTTTACCTTGTATTTCTCATTACTGGTCAATGCTTTATGGCTTGTAAACAACACTCATGTGTCATTAAATCGGTATTTATAATTCGCATGTTTCTTCATTTTCTTCATTTGCTTCTTCGCTTCGAAAATGTTCAAATCGGTGCTTTTGTGCTTCACTTTTGTGACAATTAAAACGGTCCAAAGTGCCGCAATGCAAACTTTGGCCATTCGCAACGCCCTCTACCAAGTCCCCGGATTGGGAAACCGCCCCCTGATCATCAAAATGTACCCCGGAGTCGAAAACTACCAAAGCGACATCTACGAAGTTTACGCCGAACCTTACACTTTTGTAAGTTTTAATACACGAGCCAGGGGCGAGTGTTAAAACATATTATTAGGATTTAAGGTCGGCGAGCGCCGTGGCCCTCCTCCAGGGCGAGGGTGAGTCAAAGGGCGAAGTCGTCTTCTTCCAAAGACACCCCCCGAATGGCCCCATTTTGGTGCGGGGCAACCTCACGGCTTTGCCCCCCGGCAAGCACGGCTTGCATATCCACCAATCGGGGGATTTGAGACAAGGGTGCGAGAAATTGGGGCCCCATTTCAACCCCTATCAGGTGAGTTGATTTCCAATCAAGTGGCTTGTGGTTAATTTTGGATTTAGCTCCAACATGGCGGTCCGTCCGACCCCGTCCGGCATGTTGGCGATTTGGGGAACATTGAAGTGGGGGAGGATGGGAGTGTGGAGTTTAGTATCGCTGATCCGTTGTTGGCGCTCATGGGGGGTCCTAGGGGAATTGTGGGACGTTCGATTGTCGTTTCGGGGAATCCCGATGATCTTGGGAGAGGCGGGACGGCCGAGAGTTTGGTTAATGGCGATTCGGGGAAAACCATAGCGTGTGGTGTGATTGCCTATATTAAATGATTGTTTTTGAATGAGAATAAATTTTTATTTTTGTTGTTTGGGTTTGATTGTCTTCTGCGTGCCTCTATTAATTTGTAAATAGGACAGGATTGTGATAAGGTGAAAGAATACATAGCAAAACAGGTAATAAATAGTGGAAATATTAGAATTTTGTGACAGTGAAGCTGTGTTGAAAAAAATATTCAGGTTGGTATAATTTTTTCATCTTGTTTGTAAATAAGGGTAACCTTGAACGATTTATCGTGTGTGGAAATCAGTTAAACTAATATTTTTGTTGTGATTTTACGGAAAAACAACAATTTTTTTATTTCGGAAAATTCTAGTTAAAAATACCAAAGATAACAAGAAGTGTTGTTAATAATAAATTATTTTTTTACGAGTATTATTTGTTACTTTGTGGTTTTAACGGAAAAATCCATATAACAATAAAATTTGAAATTATACAAGGTGTTGAAAAAAGATTGTCAAATATTTCAGGAGGTAATAGTATGGACCAAAACAAACAAAAAAAGAGAAGTTTTTAGTAATAATTKTAATTTTCACATTCGATATCTTTGAAACCGTTGTTTTGTTGTCTCCTTATCAGCTGCGTGCCTGTATTAATTTGTAAATAGGACAAMATTGTGATAAGGTGAAAGAATAGATAGCAAAACAGGTAATAAATAGTGGAAATATTAGAATTTTTTTTATATCATTAATCAAAAAAGTGAAGCTGTGTTAAATAAAATTCAGGTTGGTATTTGCATAATTTTTTCATCTTGTTTGTAAATAAGGGTAACCTTGAACGATTTATCGTGTGTGGAAATCAGTTAAACTAATCCGAGAGGATTATTTTTGTTGTGATTTTACGGAAAAAACAACAATTTTTTTATCTCGGAAAATTCTAGTTAAAAATACCAAAGTGCTTAGTAAAGTAGGTATTAGAGATAACAAGAAGTGTTGTTAATAATAAATTATTTTTTTACGAGTATTATTTGTTACTTGGTGATTTTAACGGAAAAATCCATATATCAATAAAATTTGAAATTATACAAGGTGTTAAAAAAAGATTGTCAAATATTTCAGGACGTAATAGTAGGGACCAAAACAAACAAAAAAAGAGAAGTTTTTAGTAATTAATCTAATTTTCATTCTTTGAAACCATTGTTTTGTTGTCTCCTTATCAGCTGCGTGCCTCTTTTCACGACATAATTAATTGTAAACAGTACAAGTTTTGTGATAAGGTGAAAGAATAGATAGCGAGGTAAAAACAAGTCAGTTGTGCTCGAAAAGAGGTGAGTAATAGTGGAAGTATTGGAAAAAAGTTTCTTATCATTAATCAAAGTGACAGTGAAGCTGTATTGAAAAAAAATATTCAGGTTGGTATTTGCATACTCAATTTTTTCAATTTGTTTGTCAATAAGGGTAACCTTGAACGATTTATTATCGTGTTACGCTAATCCGAGAGGATTATTTTTTCCTGTGATTTTACGGAAAAAAAATAATGATTTTTAGGCTCTGTCATAAGAAATCAAAAAAATCGACTTTTCCAAAAAATCTCATTTTTTTAGAACATCAATTAAAACAAATAAAAATTATTTTTGTATCATTTAACTGAGATTTTAGTCTAATTTATGATTGTTAAGTGAAAAGAAAAAAAAAACTTTAGTTTTTGGTAAGTGAAGAAAATTTTTGATCGACCAAATTTTTTTGTGGAAGAAAATGTTCTGCTTGAAAAACTCACCGATTTTGATTCGAAAATGGTGTTTTGGGGGTGAGTCTTAGAGACTTTGAAAAGTGTATGAAACGATATTGAGACGAATATGAGAAAGATGAATTTTCTTAAGTTTTTGTTTAAATTGAGTAAAACCTTAATATTATGAAACTTCAAATTTAAAAATGAGAAACTGAACTAGAAATTCAAACTAAAATCGACAATCAGTCAGAAAAACTCAATATTATAAACTTGAACTTAAAAGACCAAAAAAAGTAATAAACATGAACTGAAAACTTCAAAAATTAAATGAAATAAATCCGAATTTACAAAATCCCAACATTCAAAAACTGAAAAATGAAAACAAAATTTTAAAATTAAATAACTCAAGCTGAAACGCAAAAATCAAATTATTATGATAATAAAAATGCAATAAAAACTGAAAAAATTTAGTAGGTAATAAAAAAAGAGAAAAAGAGATTTTGCCAAAATAACGAAATTAAGTCTAAAAGGCCTTATTTTCACTTAAAGATTTTTTTATTAAGAAACCAAATAAATGAAAAAGATTTTGCAACAACAAAGAAAAAATTACAAAATTAGTAGTGAAATGCAATAATTCTGCTTATTTTGAT